ATGAAATTCACCTGTGGGGGGATTTTAAAATAAGCTCCATTGGTGCTTGATACACCATCAGTTCCTCATGTTTTCATAAGGAGGTGGCAGCTCCAGGGCTTTGCAAATGAAAAGGCTGTGTGGGAAACTTGATGAAGGATATGCCTTTGTGTCTCATATACTGAAACACCGCCTACATCTTGAAGTATGAAAATGGTTTGTTTGTTTTTTAAAAAAAAAACATTTTTGAAGGGTTTGTTGAACCTTCTTAAGAATGTGAAACTTGGAAAAGTGCAGTGGGTTTAGCCTGTAACATAGTTTAAACATTTACAGTGGTACCTTGGGTTAAGTACTTAATTCATTCCAGAGGTCCGTTCTTAACCTGAAACTGTTCTTAACCTGAAGCACCACTTTAGCTAGTGGGGCCTCCTGCTGCTGCCGTGCCACCGCTACACGATTTCTGTTCTCATCTTGAAGCAAAGTTCTTAACCCGAGGTACTATTTCTGGGTTAGCGGAGTCTGTAACCTGAAGCGTATGTAACCCAAGGTACCACTATATTGCAATATTTTTTCTTAAGAGGGAATTCCTGACAAAAAATATTTTGACTGAAGCAAAACCAGCAAGTGTTAACTCATTTACAGTGGTACCTCAGGTTAAGTACTTAATTCGTTCCGGAGGTCCATTCTTAACCTGAAACCATTCTTAACCTGAAGCACCACTTTAGCTAATGGGGCCTCCCGCTGCCGCCGCACCGCCGGAGCACAATTTCTGCTCTCATCCTGAAGCAAAGTTCTTAACCTGAGGTAATATTTCTGGGTTAGCGGAGTCTGTAACCTGAAGCGTATGCAACCCGAGGTATCACTGTACTGTGAAAAGTGTTAACAAAACAACATATTTTAAATGTGCACCTAAGAGCCCATTAAAGTTTGTTTTTGATCATTGAGGTTGTGCTGTCAATTCCCATTGATGGTAGTGGGTTTGAATTAGGCATTAAAACCTCAAGGAGGCCGACACTCAGGTTGGCTAACTCTCTTCAGGAGTTCTCTGGAGCTGCATTCTCTGGAGCTGCATTGGAGTAAAAAAGGGGTTAAGGGATGTCAAAATGAGGTGGCTGCAAGCCTCTGAAATATACTTGCTATAGGTAAAAGTCACTGCTCCCTTTCCATTTATGTGCTTAATGGGCATCTCAGGTTGGAGCCCAGGACTTGCCGATGAGAAGGTCGGCGGTTTGAATCTTTGCGACGTGGTGAGCTCTCGTTGCTCGGTCCCTGCTCCTGCCAACCTGGCAGTTCGAAAGCACATCAAAGCAGTGGCGTAGCGTGGGGGGGCGGCCGCACCGGGCGCAACATCTGGGGTTAGGGCAAATCCATGGGTTAGGGGGCGCAAATCCACGGGTTAGGGGGCGCAAATTACTTGCCTTGCCCCGGGTGCTGACAACCCACGCTACGCCGCTGCATCAAAGTGCAAGTAGATAAATAGGTACCACTCTGGCAGGAAGGTAAACGGCGTTTCCGTGTGCTGTTCTGGTTCACCAGAAGCTGCTTAGTCATGCTGGCCACATGACCCGGAAGCTGTACGCCAGCTCCCTCAGCCAATAAAGCGAGATGAGCGCCGCAACCCCAGAGTCAGTCATGAATGGACCTAATGGTCAGGGGTCCCTTTACCTTTACCTTGCATTGTATGTGGTACAAATATAACTTGTACTCCCTTTATATACATAAGCTAGACGCCCAAGGGGCAAATATTCCATATATTAATGCAACCACCTGGTTCCTAGTCAAGTTAGACAAGGTAGAATGAAAAACAGGCCCTGGATGTATGATTCTACATGCAATATTGTGATTTTAAACAGAATTGTGTTGCAGAATTAGTTCAAGGGTCTTATCTGACATTGCATGCAAAGTGTGTATGTGTAATACATTCATTTTCCTCTACTGGAAGCTATTTGTAGCATCCCTAATATAGCTAAGTAATTTGCATTATGAATGAAATCCCTATTCAGTGAGTGGATTCTTATGACAGAGAAGGATGTAGTAGCTGCAGAAGGTTATTGCATAATGTTCACAACTATCTGCAGCTTCCGACTAACCAGCCAACCCCCAGACTGCAGACCTCCCACAGCCACTTGGGAAACTGGAGAAGCAAGGATCTGGTAGCAAAAAGCATAATTGTGTGGCCAGGCTCTGGACTGCTTTTCCCCATGTCATTATGGGCACTACACAGTAAGCTTTTGAGTGGGTACCACATGACTCTGCCTGATCTGCTGAAGAGGACAAAACATGCCTTGCCTGAAGGAAATTTTGACTCGTCGCAGATGATGACCTAATTACAAAGCCATCTTAAACGCCAGTTAACTCACCTTTGAAAAAAAGAAATCGAGATAATCAACGGCACTTTGGGTGAAATGGAAAGGTGAAATCTGAGTTTCAGTGTAAGGAGTTTTAGGTTATACTGACTAAATACTTTTAGGCTACATCAGTTCGTAAATGGACAGAAAGTGGTCCCTTTTCTTCAGTGGTTTCTGGAAGTCTGTAATGGAAACAACAGCATTGCAGAATTTCCATCACTTCTGATGTTACAGTATTATACGTGATGTTAGATGTAGCTCCCAGTAGAGCAATGTGACACTGTTTAAAATGTGACCTCGACAGTCTTCTTCACCTTTTATTGCTAGAGAGTACAAGCCACCAGTTGTAGATTATTTGCACTATTCCGTGAGGGAAGAGAGGGGGCGATGGGGATGGAAATGCATCTCACCAACTTTTGTCCCATTCGTGTCAGGCCTATATTTTGGTGGATCACTCCTTAGCAGACCCTGCAGCCTGGATCATCTCTCAGTGTATGTACGTTGCAGTGGCGGACTTCCGGCTTTAAAATTTTTACTGGCGCTCTGTGAGACACCAAAATCCAGTTCCTCTTGCTTCTCACCTTTCATTGTTCGTCATTGTTGGGCACCCCCTGTGGTACCCTCTTGGCTCAGCACCTCCTCCGAGCGAGCCAGTCATCTCCCCTAAATCTGCCTCTGGTAGGTTGCCACATTGCTGAGGGAGGATCTGTGTCAGCTCTATCGACCAGACCCTCACTTCAGCGCTGACAAACTCACTCTTCTCAGAACTAGCTTTGTGGAGGTTTTCTGAAGATAGAAACCTGTATTTTTAAAATGACAAACATCCCTTCAGTGACTAATTTGACCCACCAGCCTCTGAATCCCAATCTCTGCATCAAGGAGTCCAGGAAAATGAAATCAAAGGGCCATTAGTCACTAGCTCAAGGCGGAATGGCTGCCCCTTTGACAATAATAGTGGGGTACTGGCTTCCCTGCAGAGAGTGACCTACTAAAATAATAGAAATGTACTTAAGGCCCAGTTCTGACCTCATTTTTGCCACTGTTGCTCCTACAGGATACAAACATTAAGCGAGTCCATAATCTTTTACAGGAAATCGTTTGGGAACTGATCAGCTACTTAGCAGTGAGATTTGCTGTTTGAGAAATGTAGTATATCAGCACTAAATAAGGTTATCTAAATAAGGTTACCTAAGATTCTAAGGTGCTGCGGAAGATCTCTTGTGACCAGGATAGCAATAGCTTATAAATCTGGTGGTTGTGTAAATATATCAGAGCCCTCTGGCAGGCAGGTTTGAGGTTAATTCAATTCATTACCGGTCATTCTATCCCTTTGCACTCCCAGCTTGTCATATTGAATGTCAGAGAGAAAGAAGTCCCATTAATCATGCAAACACTGTCTGCAGCAAAGCTTTGCATTGCACAACTGTGGGATGTACCAGCCCTTTCAACAAGGTAATGGCTCTCTGGGCCAAATCAGACATGACGTGGGAGAATCGTGAATAAGATCTCGCATGTAGTTAACAGCTGATCTGCCATACAGTTATTTACTCTTGTAAAGTTTGTGATTTGATTTTTCGCACCATTCTCTGGATTTAGCTTTGAAGTGGCTAGATGGTATTCATTCACTAAGTTGTGTTATTTCTTACATTTTGTTAAGACTTATCTGTTTCAGAAGGCCGTTGAGTGAACTGTCATCTGATGGGCTTTAGCTCTGTGCTAGCTCTTTTAATATATTGCTATTTGGTGGATTCTGGAACACCTTTTCTTTGCTTTGAAACTGCATGGTTTTTTTTAATGGCTCAGTTTGGACATTCTCTCTGTGTGTATGGTGGGATATGTGTGAAAGATTGCCCCTTGCAACCATGCCTACAGTGCTATCATTCCCTGACTCTGACACCTGTACACTTAAATTTTTTTTATTTATTGAATTTTTGCCCTGCTCTGCCTCCCCCAAGTTGCTCAGGGTGGCAGATTTTTATACAATTTAAAAACAAAAAACAAAGCAAAAACATTCTAAAACAGATCAAAACATTCTGATAACACTTACAATTACATAAAAACATATTTCCATCCAATGATCTCAGTGCTACCATAAACAGTATTCTTAAGCCACCAAATATTTAAAAACAATGTTTGTGATTTCCCTCACAAAGTTAATAATGATGGGAGACAAGCACACCTCGCTAGAGAGGGCATTCCACACCTGGGGAAGCACCACTGAAAAGGCCCTGTTTTGCTGTGGTTATTACGTTAACTTGATCCAAGTGATCCAAAATATTGCAATAAATTTCTTTCCGGCAGCAACCCTCCCCTGGTTGCCCACAATGAAATGAGAGAACCTTCATCTTTCCTGAGTATTCCTTACACTCCAGAGGATTTCGAGATGGGGGGGGGGGAATAAGCAACAGAGAGAAGCTCTGGTAGACCCACACAGAACTTGGTGGTAGGGAGAGGTCATTTGGCTACTATGTGCCAGGCTTTAGAGACACTTGGATTATTGCTGCTTCTGAGTGTCCGGTTTTGCAGAATTTGTAAACCAAATCGTTCTTAAACTGGACTGTTCTTAAACCGAGGCACCACTGAATAGATAATTATAGAACAGCAAGGTTTTCTTCTCTGGTTAGATTAGTAAATTCTGCTTTTATTTATTTATTTATTTATTTATCTTGGCAGCGTTTTAGATGATGAGAGCAGCAATCTCCGGCAACAAAAGCTTGACAGACAGGTGAGTTTGTAAAACTTTCATTGCACTTCATTGGTTATTTCATGTTGATAGCTGGAGCTTGCTTAACTGGATTTCTTAAGTATAAGACAAACCTCCTCTTACTGATATTCACAGTTGGTAACTTTTAGGTTTTTTCCATAGCATAAATCAGTGCTGACCAATAAGCCACAGGGCTTTTTAAAACTAGGTATGTAGTTTTGCTGTGGATATGGACAAATGACTCATAAATATGTACTATCTACCATCATAATATAAACATGGAAACATCTGGAATGAGAGACCCATACAGCTGGGAAATACACTCCCCTTCTGGTTATAAAATCTGCTAAGGAACTGAGAACTGAAATACGGTATTTGTTTAATGCTCAGCGTAGATCACTGTTACCCTGGGCTGCGATGTTGATACTAGCTTTCAAATTTGTCTTTGATACAAAATAATATTTGGAATCTAAATCGGAAAATCAGATATCCCACCCTCTCATTTTGGGCCCAGTCAGCATTTTCACATGTTCCATAATCAGGCCACAATGCTCCATTCTCCAGGTTAGGGGTGTGAGGTATGAAATTACTTTCAGCCACCCCTGAACAAGCATGGGTCACTTACATGGTCTGATGCAAGTAGTTATTAGTATGTTTTCCAGAATCATCACTAGCAATTGGCTGCAGCCTGCTTGCTTTGTGCTTCTCAGGGTGGTGGGGATTGATCTGATGGATCATGCAATTGTTGCAGAATCTCTGTGCTAGATTAGTTGTAGCATTGGGAAAGACTTTTATGCATTTCACAGTGCAATTCTCCCCGTGCCTATTCAGACATAAATCCCATTGATTCAGTGGCTAGGGAGTTGCAGCACATAGAGCTTAGATCATAATTATAATCAGCATAATACAGCAATAATTTTAGGTCCTATATTTTATTGCTTTCCCAATATTTAGTATAAGCGATTTTAAATCTCAAATCTGACTATCAGTAGAGGTGTCAAATATCTCTGCTCTTAGCACCGTAGGTATTTTTGTTTTTTAAAGTTTTTAAAGAGGCTCTCCATAAAGAATTGCTTGCGTATGTCCACTGTACATAATAGTAGCAAAATAAATGGTTTGATACAGAATTGTGGTAGGTGGTCGATGTCCAATTTAATATTGTTTGGTTCAAAGCATCTTGCTGAGACACCCAGAAATCAGTCCATAGGCCCACAGGTTCCTATTTAATCTAACGAGGAGCTCTCTCTGTGTGTCACTGTGTGTTTTCCCAGAGAGCATTACTTGAGCAGAAGCAGAAGAAAAAACGCCAGGAGCCACTGATGGTTCAGTCCAATGTGGACAGCCGGACAAGGGCGCGCAGAATGAAACAGTCAGAAGAACAAGCACCATTGGTTGAATCTTACCTCAACAGCAACAGCAGCACCATTTATAATGGTATGTGTCCTAATTTACTGCAAAATGTCGAGGGCAGGGAAAAGTATCAAGAGATGCATTCGAGAATATGCTGACAAGAATTTTAGGGGGGAAAGTAGTATAAACTGGTCTAAACATAGGCATCAGAATTGAATATTTGTTCCTTTTTACATGGCGGCTCGGTCTCCCTATAACTCTTACTTCAATAATCCATCAAATAGTATTTTGATTATTATTCTCCCAGTGGAAAGGGTTTGGGGGGTTTAGTTCTGTCAATCTCTGTCAGAGATTGACAGAGCTACTGAGCCATCTATCTTCCTTCTGAAATTATTCAATCATTCACCATTTGTGGGAGGTGTTTCATTCACAGTTGCAGAATGCACTGCTGTTGTTTTAGCAATGAATTTCTCATGGTTTTAAGCAAAAACCAAAACTACCGCTTTTCATAAAATGGAAGAGGACAACTTGTCAACAGAATGTACATTTCCTTTCCATGTTCTGCAGAAAGCTGACTGCGCATTAAACTTTCAGGCTTTTTGTCCACTTTCATAATCCCTAACTGCCCCCACTCCCCAGTTAAACTTTTAAATATAAAAATGCACCATCAGTAGTTGAATGTCTGACTGAATAAATCTTACTTCTTGGTACACGGTTGCTGTCCTCAGCCTTTCAATCTTGGCAAAGAATGGTAAATATACATATTTTAGGAAACATTATGTGCGACACTGCAATATCATGCAGCCCAAATGACCTTATTAATGTGAGCATACAGTTCCTTTGCTCGCAGATTCATTTTATATGCATGCTCATTACATTTTAGTTTATAATTATGCCATCATTTGCTTCAACTGCAGTAAGTCTGAGACAACCCTTCTCCCCTTCCCACCATATGAAAATCTCAATCTCCTAAAGTATGTATTTCCTTGCAAAATATTACAGGGAAAATGTTATTTTTTTACAATAGCCTTTTAGAAAATTGCATTGATGTTCACTTTTCCCCTTCAGCATTCCTCAAAAGTGTTTTTGTTTTTTTAAAAAAATACAAAATTAAAGAAGCATTTGAATTTCATTAGCCCTTTTTAACAGCAATTTAAATGTACACGGTGTTTGAATATTAAATGCATTTGACTTAGTCTCAGCAGCCTTTTCTTCAGTTACATTTATAAATTGGAAACCACACTGTGAATAGAACTTCTGTTTGGATTAATGATTTGCATTTTGTGGCCCAGCACATGTTGGTATGCATGTGCACAGAGGAGAGAAGCATTAGGTTGCATCCAGCACTGCCATCATTGGCATAACCTCTCCATCCTCTTCTCTCTCCTACGGTCCCCTGCACATGCCAAAATATGCTCTGTAATGTTGAGGGACCGGATTTTGGCATTTGGGGGGTTGCAGGCAGAGGAGAGGAAGGTGGGATCCTGTTGCGTGTGTGGTACTCTGATCATGCAGTGTGGGATGCAACCCATTTTTCCTATGGGAAATGTGTTGGCTCAAAATACATTCAGTTCCTGTCTGCTTCTTCCTTCCTTTTATATAACTTGTAAAAAAAAAATAATCAAATGTATTTCAGATGAAAATTTTGGCTGTACATTGTTTAATTTTGAGTGCCATTTTACTTTGAGCCATAAATGACATCAGTTTTCCACCAGTGGCAAGTTTCAAGTTACCAATTCAGTGGATGTTTCTGTACATTCTATTAATGAGCATTAGTTAACACTTAAAATGTTTTAAAATGTTTTTATTCACACAAGCAGGGGGAATCTAACAGTTTTTTACATGATATATATGAAACAGTGTTTTAATTTACATTTCAAGATATGAGAAAATTTCAGTTTTGTTAACTTATAATTGAAAGCATGGGTTGATACAGAAAATTAAATGTTCTCTATTAAAGAAAACCTACCTTTTTGTTTCAGTTCATCCTCCTTTTTGTGTTAACAAAAGTACAGTTAAAACTTAATAGCTTTCTACTTTTTCAGTAGAACAAAAGGACCTGGGTGCAAATTTAACATGAGATAAAATTGTTCCAGAAAAGCTTCACGTAGGGAGGAAAAACCTAAGGTTAAGGGAGAAAGATAAAGAAAAAAAATGTTCTGTCTTTATCAAAGGACACCAGCATAGGAAAATGTCAAGTCAAAACATTGTTAACAACTAGCCAGGTTTTATCAGTACTGTGGGATGATAATGCTTCAACATTTACAGTGGTACCTTGGTTCTCAAACTTAATCGGTTCTGGAAGTCTGTTCCGAAACCAACGCGTTCCAAAACCAAGGCGCACTTTCCCATAGAAAGTAATACAAAATGGATTAATCTGTTCCAGACTTTTAAAAACAACCCCTAAAACAGCAATTTAACATGAATTTTACTATCTAACAAGACCATTGATCCAATAATCAATGTTCTGTACTATAAAATAAATAAGACAGTATAGTAGATGATAAAAATTTAAATTCCCCCCCCTTACCTGCACTGATGATAGTCATTGTTTGAATGGGGGGCTTTTATCCATTTCCGCATTCACACAATCAATCAATCAATCAATCAATCATAAAACAAGCCACGGTCACAAAAATGAAAAAGCCACACAAACTAATACCCAAAAAATAGCAAAACAAAAGCACCAAATATCACAACAGAACACTGCAATCAGAAATGGAAGGCTTTAATTACGATGGGGGGGGCTTAAATTTGCTGGGCAAGGGTAAAACGGGATGAAAAAAGCCTTAATTACTATGTGGGGGACTCAAATTTGCTGCATGACTGTGAAAACGGAAGCTCAGGAGCATGTTCGACTTTCGAGGCAAAGTTTGAAAACTGGAACACCTACCTCCGGGTTTGCAGCGTTCAGGTTCCAAGTTGTTCGGGAACTAAACTGTTTGAAAACTGAGGTACCACTGTAGTAAGATTCATCTAAAAATCAGGAAAGGAATCAAGTGAATTAAAATAATATTTCACGCTATTTACCAAAAGGAAAAGAAGCTGCTCTTCCTTGTCATTCAAGGCCTATTTAAATCAGCCTCCCAGACTGATGTTTAGCATGATACATAGGGCTAGGTATTCTATGTGCCAGCATAAATCTCTTCAGGGTAAAACACAGGCCTCTCCCTTGCACCTTGTGGTTTGCAAAGGCAGAGCTTCAGTTCCATGACAGTCATTTGTAGCAGGTAAGATTTGGAATGAATGAGTTCACACGTGTAGACTTCTCTTCAGAGAAGGCTAACTGGCTAATTTACACTCTGTATAAATGCCATCAGTATTTCATTTCATTTTGTGTTCTGGATGGAGCGTTCTGTACTCTCTATTGCTTCCACATTGACAGGTGACTAGAAGCCTCATGCCACCATCACAGCCATGTGTACACTTGATCTCTGGCCACTTCCTCGACAGAGAATTGCACCCTGGGACAACCCCAGATGCTGCTCGCCTAACATAATGGAGCCGCAAAGCCAGAGGCAGGCAGGGTTGGTTGCAGGCATATATTCCTCGTGGTCTTCTCTTTCAGTAGGCTGATGCAGCACAAGGAGTCCTGCACTCTGTGATTTCCAGAGGGCAGGGTTAGAACTAATGGATGGAAATGGCAAGGAAGCAGATTTCGGCTAACTAGCAGGAGAAACTTCCACAGTATGAGCTATCTGGCAATGGATGAGGCTGCCTTGGGAGATAGTGGGCTGTTCTTTACTGGAGACTTTTAAACAGGGGTGGCCACCTGCCAGGGATGCTGCTGTTGCACCCTACGTTGCAAACCTTGCACTGAGTAGGGGGTTAGACCTCCTGGCTTCCTTCTAAGCTTGACATTCTACTGAGCATGGCTGAAGCATTTCCAGGAATGAATTGCTGAGGTAGCAAAAAGGAATTGAGCACAAGATGGGATTACATGGAGCGGCCACCTACTATGGTCCTTTCCAGGAGCTCAGGAGTTCTGCTCAGTTCTGCCCACCTGTCAAATTTGGCCTGCGAGGCTGATTCTAATAAGGAGCAAAAAAGGTTCTCTGTCCCTGCCATAGTTTATTGTTCTACTCTTAAGTGTCAATTTATTCCACTGAAATTATAGGGTACTCTCTGTTTATCTTTTTGAAAATCTCATTTGGCTACTTTTATAGCAAATAATTCAGTTTTTAATGTCTACCATTCCACCTATGTGGATTCAAGGCATCAATATGTGCTGGAGGGACATATGGTGGGGGAGCTTCATGACAGTGCCCCACCTCATGTGGTGCTATGGACAGGATGGATCAGTCCTCAAACCTAAAGTCATATGGATTACTAAACTCTGCCACAACAAAATTCGACATGTGTATTAAAACTGAAATTCAGGCTTTGACAAGTGCAGAGAAAGTGTCACCTTTGGAACTAACTTCTCAAGCTGCAGCCCACAGTATTTATTTATTTTGCTTCTGGCTATTTTTTAGTTGAGCAAACTGCTGAAATAAGAAGTGCCAGACAGTTTCTGTGTTTCTTTAAAATGCAGCTTAAAGACACATGCAAATCAACTCATGCTTTAGACACTTTTAATACACATTTTTATAATTTTTAAGAGGCCTCACCAAGACTCCTCAGTGGAGCACTAACAGAGCCTTCTTGTGAGCACACACAGAGTCCCTTTTCAAAAAAATTGGATAGTCCCAAATGCATTTCAACACAGCTGGACATTGTTGGAGGGATGTCCAGACCAGGCATAGGCAAACTTGGCCCTCCAGATGTTTTGGGACTACAATTACCATCATCCTGAACACTGGTCCTGTTAGCTAGGGATGATGGGAGTTGTAGTCCAAAAACAGCTGCAGGGCAAGTTTGTGTATGCCTGGTCCAGACTATGTGTGTGACTCCAAGAAAGAATTGACGATGATGATGACATCCAGATGTGAAATGGACCAACTATTGAAAGTCACCTTGCAGGAAACACCAGGCAAAACAATAGATGTGGATACACACAAATCTATGTGTCTGAGTGACCTGAAAACCTAATCATTCATTGCTAATAAATGCTGCCATCCACACCAGATCACCAAGCTTGTAGGATGCCATGAACCACCAATGGGGAACCTGTGGTCCTCCAGATGTTGCTTGACTCCAACTCCCATCATCTGACCATTGACATGCTGGTGGGGGCTGATGGAAGCTGGAACCCAGCCACAGCTGATTGACCACAGGTTCCTCATCTCTGCCATAGAGGAAATCCTGATATGACCATCCGTCATCTTCCTCTTTGTCAAGGAGCAGCGGTTCCTGGAACTCTTCCTGCTATCATTACTGGTCATTGCTGCAGCTTTAAAGGTAAAGGTAAAGGTACCCCTGCCCGTACGGGCCAGTCTTGCCAGACTCTAGGGTTGTGCGCCCATCTCACTCAAGAGGCCGGGGGCCAGCGCTGTCCGGAGACACTTCCGGGTCACGTGGCCAGCGTGACATCGCTGCTCTGGCAAGCCAGAGCCGCACACGGAAACGCCGTTTACCTTCCCACCAGTAAGCGGTCCCTATTTATCTACTTGCACCCGGGGGTGCTTTCGAACTGCTAGGTTGGCAGGCGCTGGGACCGAACGACGGGAGCGCACCCCACCGCAGGGATTCGAACTGCCGACCTTTCGATCGGCAAGCCCTAGGCGCTGAGGCTTTTACCCACAGCGCCACCTGCGTCCCACGTTGCAGCTTTAGAACTTCCCAAATATAATTAAATGGCTTTATATGAATGCCAGGTCTTTTACTCAAGGCTGCTTGCCATTTGAATCTTATTTCTTTAAAAGGACCCTCTTTTGGCAGCTTGAATATCTGAGCACTTACCCTAAACTCTAAAAAAAGCAGAATGTTAAATCAAAGACGGAACTAGTTGGAGTTCGTTTTAATGGTGCGCAGAAGCTCTGACTTATGAAAGGAATGTTGCAATTTAGGCTGCCATATTATGCACATTTACTTGGAAGTAAAGCCCCATTGAATTCAGTGGGATTTGCTTCCAAGTGTACATACGGTACTAGTAATTGCATTGTTTGTGGAGTTACATAACATTACCACTTTTTTCTTTTCTGTACTTTTATGAAGGTGTGTGTATGGAGTGGGGATTGGAGGATCAGAAGGAGCAGCCTGCCAGCTTCTCTTTTTTACTTTGTTGCAGAAATATTTGTTTGTATGTGTTTCAAATAAGTAAACTGACAATATGAAACTACTGTGATTTCTATTTGCTTCACAAGTTCATGCAGGTCAAATTACAGTGGTACCTTGGGTTACTTACGCTTCAGGTTACATACACTTCAGGTTACTGACTCCGCTAACCCAGAAATAGTACCTCGGCTTAAGAACTTTGCTTCAGTATGAGAACAGAAATTGTGCTCCAGCGGCGCAGCGGCAGCTGGAGGCCCCATTAGCTAAAGTGGTGCTTCAAGTTAAGAACAGTTTCAGGTTAAGAACGGACCTCCGGAACGAATTAAGTACTTAACCCGAGGTACCACTGTATAAGACCTGCAATCCTTTGCACCTTTACTTAGGAATGAGTTCCACTGAACATAGTGAGATTTGCTTATTAGCAGGCATGCATAGATTGAATTGCAAAGTAGCTGAATGGGTTATGCCAGCACAAAGCTTCTGTGCTTAATTTTGTTACATTTTGAGTTGATGGTCTCTCATTTTTTTCTGTTGCCCTCTTTGAGAATTTGCAAAACATGTTTAGATAAAGCAGAGGAGAAGTGAGACAAGAAGACCCAGATACTAGCCAGTAAATTTACTTGTTGCTGGGGACTTTTATTTGATGCTTGAAAGGGCAGGCTGGTGCCTGTACATAGAAATAAGTTGACTTGTAGGTAAATGCTGCTGCTTGCAATTTGAAGTGGCAAATTTGATGAAGACTGTGTCCCTTGCAGCGTCCCTCCAGATATTATTAGGAACATTGCAGGAATGTTAGTACATTTTTTAATAAGGTGCTGTTTTTCCCCAGAAGGAATCTTAGAAACAGAGTCTTAACTGATGATATCACAGGGAACCATGTGCACATGGCACTCTCAGTTCTCCTGATGTCCTTGGACATAGCAGTCAAGACTGGTTCACCCAGGCAAAATGTAACACAGAAAGGGATTGCCATTTATTTTACTAGCAGCCCAAAGGTAAAGATGGTAATATACTGTATATTTAAAATATCATTATAAACCTGCAGTCTTCTACCTGATACTGTCTTCTTTCTCTGGAACTGACTTGATATATATATAAATACTTTTACAATCTGCCTGCTTGCTTGCTCACTTCTTGTGGCTTCATAGTTTTCTCATTTCTTCTCTCCTCTGTCTTTCTCTTTATGTTTCTTTTTGGTTGGGGTGTCTGGATTCTCTCAAGCAGTACAGGAGCCTGAGCAAGAGGACGTAAAGGTGGTAGCAGAGTCACAAGCTCCAAAGTCAACTAAAAAAGCCAAGGCAGCCACAGGAGGCTGCCAAACTGGCAACATCAGAAAGGAGAAAAAGGGGAAGCACAAAGGTTAGCTGCATGCTGCTGATTATTAAATAAGAATGAGACAAGTCACCATATGTTTATACAATGGCAAGGGGTGATTTTTTTTCCTTTCATATTTTTTTCATTCAAGCTACACATTGTCCGAAACCTATATTATATATATGTATAAGCATTCAGTAGATGGAGTTTGCATTGCCCAGTTGAGATATCAAGTGCACCCAAGTACTGATGTTTCCACTCCTTTAATTGGTGGTGTTAAGTAAGGATTTAATGCTTACCACTTTCCCAGAAAGCCTCAGAGCAAGCTACAACATGTATAAACCAAAGTGCAAGATTCCAGGAACAAAGCAATAATATAACAAGTCCCTGGTGAATGCTGCCCACAAAATCCTAGCTTAACCCCAGTGACTCAAATCCAAATTAGAAATGTTTTCAAGACTTTTGAAAAGATACACTCTCTCTGCCGAGTCTCCAAAGAGACGTTTTAAATTAATAAATTTAAGCTACTTGCCACATATACAGAGTGTAGTTATTCAGTATTTATGTATTTTTATTAAAAAATTATAGCCTCTCTGGGTGGGAAACAATAAAAGCATATGAAAACAGAGTCCATTCACAATGAGCAAAATTAACAAAATCCATCAGATGCAGCAGATCAGCCCCAAATCACAGCCACACATTAAAAATTATCAAAAACTTAGGCAATCAACTGTATTTTAAGCTAGTGTCTAAATAATAACAAAGTCATTGCCTGCTGAATTTCAAGTTAGATGTGACGTTTGTCACACAGGTAGCCCATGCATAGTTGATTTTCAAATAACAAATAGCCTGTGTGGTTAGCAAACTGGATCAGACATGTGGTGTTGGGAAGAGGGGGGCCCAGCCTCCACATTCAGGTGTTGGTTAGTCATTCTAATAGGGACCATGGCAAAGTGTTGACTCCCGCCCCTCAGTATACCACACTCCTGATTTAGCTCTCACACACTGAGTCAGGGATCAGCAAACTTTTTCAGCAGGGGGCCGATCCACTGTCCCTCAGACCTTGGGGGGGGGGGCTGGACTATATTTTGAAAAAGAAAGAAAGAAAGAATTCATATGCTCCACAAATAACCCAGAGATGCATTTTAAATAAAAGGACACATTCTACTGACATAAAAACACGCTGATTCCCGGACTATCCGGGGGCCAGATTAGAAGGCGATTGGACCAGATCCGGTCCCCGGGCCTTAGTTTGCCTATCTATGCCCTGAGTTAAAGAAAATTCAACAACGGAAGGGCAAAATGAATGACTAATGCTGTCTACTTTGCCCTTTAGTCAGTGTACACCCAAGGTTCCCATACTGCTGGCCCTTTTTCAACTGTGCTATCCATGCTGCTCTGTTAAGCCCTTGGTGTGGAACCTGTATCTAGAAGGGGCTGTTTGTACACCTCAGTCTTGAAAAATTGTGCATCAGGAATGCAGACTTGCGAAGTGCTGTCTTCTGTAGTGTGCCAGAAGGCAGAGATACCCTGTATAGGCAGTACACCTGCTTTTCCAAAATCTTCCGATTATCTGGAAATCTACCTAGTTTATGCAGAGGAATGAGATTATACTTGGCATGGTTTAGGAAACAAGCACTCACTTGATTTCTGAATTTGAAAAGGCTATTCATTTTAGCTGAAGTGCTGGTGTATTCTCTAACTCTATATACAATCGTCCATACAAAATGCTGATTGAATGATTTTTGTGTATCTCGGTCATGAAAGGCCCCTCTTACAAATCTCTCGGGACCGAGCCAAGTGCTGCAGGTGCTCTCCAGTGTGGCATTTTCTCTCACTGCAGTGGCAGTTCTGGGTCAAAATGGCTGTAGTCCTAATTAATTAAATCTAGACCCAATTAATTAGCTTTTTAAAAAAAGATATTGTCTGTGAAAGTAGTGTTTACCTCAGCTAGACTGGATTTAAGGTTTTGGTTAAAAAATGATACCACGCTTAATGAGGAAGAACTGTGAATGCCTAGTCTGTATTTCTCAAATAAATTTAGAGACAAATGTTTGTGATTTTTGTTTAAAAACAACAAGCCGTGCTTTTAAGGATGAGCAGATTAGAAACTATGGTGTTTTTTTAACATATCTATTTTGATTAAGCTTACGTATTAATATTAATGAATGTATATACTGTAACTAACATTTTTGGTTTGGGTAAAATATTTAGGACTCCCCCCCCCCAACTTGCACTCTGTTTTTTGACAGTGAGATTTTCAGGCAGCAAGATATTTTTGGGGGGTGGGGGTGGGGGGGGGAGTAGGATGCAAAGGAGTAGGATAAAAAGTTTAATATCCAATACATTTTGGACTTGGCTCCTTGGGCATATCCCTCTGCCAACCCTGACCAATGTTCTTCATCAGAGTAGCACCCATCTGCTCAAGAGCATCAAACCACACATCAGGCTAATAATTCATGTTCCCGGTTTTTAAAATTTCACAGTCTAATATCAGGAAAAGATGGAGAAGGGAAAAACAACAACAACTATGCAAACATTTTCTGGAGATTTTTCTTCACACATTTTGGGGCTAGGACTAGCATTTTAATTTTATTATATATCAGTTGCGTGTTAGTGTCTCAGTTGCTCCAGTTGATTGGAGGGCTTCTATCAGCATGGAAGTAGGTCTCTATCGTTAATCAAATGAGGTTGCATGTGCATAGGCAAATGTGTCTTGCATCTTTGTGGACCGGCCAGCATCCGGTGCTCTGTGCAGAGAGCTAACATTGTGCTGTTAGCTCAGTTATTTCCCCCCAGCACAATCCTTATTATTCCCACCAGTCACCTGATTAGTAGACTTCATTTGTTTTAAAAGGGCTCTTGCTTGTGCAGCTCCAGTTAAAATATCTCCCCACCACAGTTAAAATGTCTCACCCCCACAACTATTAACTAGGATCTAAGAGAATGGGAATTTCCCTTCCACGATTTTGCTTTTGGTATCCATTTACTTATTTATGGTCACAGTTCACTTTGATAACTTACAGATACAGTAGGAATACATAGTTGGGAGTTCAGTAATTGGTAGAATTCTAATGGCTGAGAGTTTGCACAAAAATTACAAAATTTATTTTGTATATCATGTTTGGCGGGACCCTGCGGTGTGCTGTACTTGGAAACAACATGTTCCTAAAGGGTTTTCATGCATTTAGATGATGTAAGACTCCCATTTCATAGTAAGGCCAATCTTGTTGGGCTAAAAGTAAACCAGGTTTTATGAATGATCAGCTAATTCCGAGCTGTAAACTATTGAATTATACATGAGCAGTACTCAAAGTCTCTCTTGTAATAACTGAATGCACAACCTTAAATGTAGAAACCAATGATTTTCTGAGTGGCTTCGTGGCTGATGACATTGCAATCAGGACAATGTGATAAAGATGAACACCAGGGAAATATTAGGCATAACGAAGCTGCACTTTCATAAAATGAGAGAAATGGTTAGTTACTGGATGCAGCTAATTGTTTGTGCAGGGTGATTGCCTTTCCCGTGTACTTACAGGACAATAAAGAGCTATTGCTTTGGTGCAGTGCATAAAAGCTCTCATTAGAATTAAGGATAGGTTATCCAGCCCTCACAATGCACATTAATAGAAACCCTGCTTTCTTCTTCTATTTTTAAGTCTCCATTTCATAGGCAGGAAAATAATAATTGCAATAATTTTCAAGCACAAACATTACCTTGTCTCAGCTATATGATTATAACACCATCCTTGCTAGATCGCTGTAGATGGATGTAAGATGACACATTAAAATTGTCCTTTTGACCTCAGAGCAATTTAGCTGTAGTGATTATGATTTCTGAAATTAGTTCTATTTCAAACTAAGTCAATTGTGAGCATGCTACTTTGGAAAGAACAGGGAATTACAAAATCCAGACAGCAAGAAAACTTGTTAACTCCTTAAGTGGCTGTAAACTCCTTAAAATGCACACTTGAAATCCCAAGAGTGGTGTTCCAGAATTGTAACTGAGCAGATTGCAATTCCTATACAGTAGTTTCCCTCTACTATGGCAAATGGACATGTTCTTATTATTTTAAAACAACTAAGATGGGGGCAAGCTTTATGGTACCCCAACTTCAAGGGCACATCCAGACCAGAACAAATTTGTTAATTCCCTCTGACATTTATGCCTTACCTCAGAAACATGCAGAAATGAATTAGAATGACTGTTGCCAGGTTGCCTCCTTAAGGGTGCAAGTTCAGCAACAATGAAATCCTACTTTCAGTCAGAGCAACTATCCAAAAGGGATGAGTGCAAAAGATGTCTTGTGCCTGACTAGCTAGTAGACAGCTGAATAGTAGGAACAGACTACTCTTGTACCAGAAGAGCCATCAAGGTAATTTCCCCTACTAACAGAAGTCCAGTCAATAGTTGAGCCAGATACCAAAGAAGAAACCAACTTTTTAAAAAATAAATCTAGCAGTGATCAAACCCAGACAAGACAATAGAAATCCATGATTGAATCTCTTCACAAATATTTTGGTGTGTTTGTGTGAGAGATCCAGATTGGGACCATGGTGTGGGAGAGAGGGTTAGGTCTCCCTGCCACTGCCATTTCCCTGAAAAAAATGGTTTACTCCAGAACTGCTGCTTGCTGTATGTATGCAAAACTTTATTAAAAATAAGCCAAGTGACAGAATTAGGAAGGTATGCAGGGGGCAAAGGTAAATATATTAGTATTGGGTAAGAGAGACAGACACAGAGAGAGAGAGATAAATAATAATACAGGAGGTGGTGAACATAAATTGCATAGAGATGGGACAGCAGAAGTCTCCTATCCAAACCAGTTGCAGAAAGCCTTAGGTTTCCATCCTGTACAAGTTTACCTGGGAGTAAGACCCATTAAGCCAAATGAGTCTTACTTTTGAATAGACATGAATAGGCTTGCTAGACCCAACCAGTTCCATGCATTCTGAAACTTCTCTATTACCATGCAGTAAGATGCCTCTGGAAGCATCAGAGCATGGGAAGGTGATCCCCTGTTCTTTGTCCTCAGCATCTGATTGTGGCACCTCCAGACTCAGAGGCAGTTTACCTCTGAATATCAGAAGCTCAGGGGATTGTGGTTTAACTGGGAAAGTTAGTAACCATAAATCATTCAATCTGCTATAAGGATTTATCTGCCTTCATTAAGAATAAGGTACAAACTTTTGCCCAACTTCAGTTGCTAAAAAGGGACATTGGATGACAGATCAGATAAAGCAAGGCTAACTGTGCCATGTTCCTTGCACAATTGTCGGTAAGAGTTAGCTAAAAATAGGCTCTATTCTCAAAGAAATAGGTGGGGTTTTTTAAACGAGCAAGGAATTCAGATCATTATCCGGCTACTTCTCCTGTTCACTTTTCAAATGTGAATCTCTTGAGAGTCGTGGTTTGGATTAAATGAAAGCCTTTACAGTGTCATTTTGGTTAGCTATACTTCAAAATAAGTTGTCTTTTAAAAAAAGAGTTGGTGTCTTCTTTTTACTCCTAACCTCCTATCATTCTTCTTAATTTCAAAGCAGGCCAGTGTTTCTTTGATGTATAGCAGTGCCAACTTTCCAGCAGGGTTGGCGATGATGTGGGCTTTTCAGCAGCACTTCAGAATTCTAATGCGCAGATGTGACTCCGCTGTATACACTGGGCCTTTGAATGTAATAAATATCCCAGGGGAAAGAACTATGAACTACACATCCGATGAGGCCAGTTGGCTTTGTTTGTAGGTTTACATACATTACGGCTGAGCTGAAACGGCGCACACACACAATTTCATCTTGACTTCCAACAGGGGGAAATACCTTCACTAGGGATGGGGAACATCTGGCCCAAGGCCTGAATCTGGTCCGCCAGGCTCTGGGCCTCTGGACTTGGGCCCCTATCCCCCGGCTGAGGCCCTCATTGGCCCTGCTCTGCACCCTCCTCAGGTGCCTTTTCCTGGCTGGAATGTGTTTTGGATCTGTGGTCATGTCTCTTGCTTGTTAGGATGGAGGGATGCAGTTAGAATCCCCTGACTCCTGTAGTTCTGTTAGGAAAGCTACAGTAGCAGCTGGTTACTGTCAGGGCAGAGGACAGGAAGCGAATGGATGAGAGTCAGCTTTCTCTGCTCTTCTTTCCATCCCCCTTCTGAAAACTCATTGGACACTGCAGCCATTATCAAGAGGAGAAAAATTGGACATATTATTATTATTATTATTATTATTATTATTACCCTTCCTCTGGTTAACAACAAAAAATTACAAAATGAGAACCCAAAATACATAATAAAAACAAGAACAAAAACACATTTAAAAGACCATCAAATGTTAATCAGCCAAAGGCCTGGTTAAAGAGAAATGTTTTTGCCTGGTGCCTAAAGATATATAATGAAGATAATATAATGAAGGCACCAGAGGAGCCTATCTGGGGACAACATTCCACAAATGAGGAGCCACTGCAGAAAAGGCCCGTTCTTGTGTTGCTGCCCTCTGGACCTCTCGTGGGGGACACACACACATATCTAGGAGTCATCATGAAATATCTAACATGTAGCTATAATATTTCAGTTCTGCTTGTATCTAGATAGATAGACAGACTGATTTAGCACATGATTCCTTTATGAGGACTGAAATGCAGAGGTGTGCTTCTGTTTGTGTTATGCGCAATCCCTTGCATAAGGTCCCAAGATAAGTGCTAGCCCAGGGTGTCATACAAACCCTTCTACAGGGGCTTGTTCAGTGCCACACAATTTCTCCGAGTAGTTCGCGTACAACACAGAAGAGCGTCACTGGCAGAATTACTCCTATCTGTAGCTCTAACCCACTGTTTTGTATTGCTTTCTGCTGCAAATATTTTGATTTAATCGCTAGTTTGATGATTGCAATTATTTTCTCTCTGTTTTGCCTTATTTTTGGGTAGCATGTGTGAGTTTGGAGTGTTGAGCAATAGAAATGTTTGTTTGTGTAGCCATACTGCCTTTCTACAAAACGTATGTATGTATTTATTTTTAAATATTTTACTTAGGCTGCTTTTCTGTGCAAATGCCCACCCAAAGCAATTAAAAACAATAAAAGAACAATTATACTGTATCGAACTGTATCAAAGCTACAGTTCAGCAGCAGCCCCCATGAAAATAAAGATAAATGATATATAAATAAGTGATGCTCACTCTAGAATCCCTCTGGATATTTAATTGTAGATAGCGCTCTTCAAATGAAGGCTATGACATTCTGGATGGGAATCAGCATATTGGTGCATAACTACGTAGTATGTTAAGGGCTATGGGTGGCACATGTCTGTGTTTGATGGTGTGACCCTTTCCCCTAAGTTGGGCACAAACAGAAACAGATGCACACGTGTGTCCCACCCACCCACACTGCATTTTACGTTGTATGCATGTCTGTTCTCTCACCGTGCAGAGAAGATGCCTGGCTTAATGAGTGTGCGAAACCATCCCAATTAATTGCTATGCTAAGTCACACCAGTGGCCCATTCTATGCAGTGCTCTGTCTCAGGCGAATATCCAGTGAAAGGAAAGTGCTTAAAGGGAACTGCAAGGAAAATCTGCCTTGTAAAGTATGAATTAGTTCCCATGGCTACCTTTGCTTCATTAGTTACTTGCAGAATTATTGTGGCTATAGTGCACATAATTGTCTCCCTAAAAAGCTTTTCTGCATACATTTTGCAGGCTTATTCTACCAGTGTAAGCATAAGGCACTTTTGTGCCAATTTAATTCTTTGTTGCCAGTTCTTAAGTGCCAATTTCTAGTGTGCAGAAATTCAACATTTTTTTATTTACTTTTGATAGTATGTGAGAAATAATAAAGTTGCGTGGTCACAGGAAAGTAAAATGGATGATGCAAATTAATGCTAATAGCCAAGGAGGGAATTAGGCAATGTTTGCCCAGTTCTGATTTGCCCCCCCCCCAACATCCCCATTTGTGATCATCTTTGCAAGAGGCATTATTAAAATATTGACATTTTGAAATAGTAGCCAATTCTGCCTAGTGCTCTGCAGTTTCTGTCTCCGGTAGTTAATTTTGAACCGCACAGAACAGGAAGCATGTCAACCATTATGCAAAGAAATTGAAATATTACAGCTTATATCAGTTCAAAAATGGTTTTAGAGGGCTGACAAATAAGTAAACACAAGCACAACATTTTGTACATGCAAACATAAAACCAGAAGCTGAAATGCACATAATTCTATTTTGTTTTGATTTTCTGTCACTATAGCAAGCTTTTTTCTCAAAGGGAGTGACATGAACTGTTACCTTTACATTTCAGTTATGAGTTTGGTTTGGAAGATTGTCGGAACGCATCCAATCCTTGTTTTATGTCGTTCCATATTGTGGTCTTTTAAACAGCTATGTGGGTGGGGCTAGCCTTCCATATCCAGTGGCTGTGCAGGCAGGTGACACACTCAATCCGTTCCTCCCCAGCCTACAGCCAAAGCAGCTTCTGTCTTTGCCTGCCATGAACCTGAAACTTCCAAATGTCAGGCAGGAAGCAGTGATAATTCCACATGCCTCTTCCTCATGCCAAGAAAAAAAAAGCATGGGCAGCCATTTCCTACCACTGCCTGCCTCTTATCCAGGGTCTCCTGCAGCCCAGGCAGATGTGACCAATCTCTGTTGGTTACAGTGGTAGTTTTAGGCCACTTGAGGTGCCATTCTAAAGGCAAGTGCTCTGTGAAAGGACTTCCTATAACATTGCTCTTTCAGTACTCTTCTAGATAACAGTTTTCATGCTAACTGATCTAGAGCCAGACCCCTGGAAGCAACAGGAAGCAAGCACCCTTTTGTATGAAAACTACGTTTCTTATTTAAATATATCTAAAGATGGCTGCCAGGTTTGACTTCTTAGGTATGCCATGGTCAAAGGTTGAAAAACACATATTGTCTCTGGATAGTGACACCGTTGTTTGACTTTTTCTGCTTGATAGGAATTGATGGTCCGGCCGCTTTTCAAGATGATGTACAGGAAGTAGGGAGCCAAGTTCAAATACTTACTGTTGGAGAGGCTTGCCAAGATGAGGATGATGGTGAGACAATAGCTTCCAGTCAACAACAAGGGACACAGGACCTTAGACTGACAATGCAGAAGAAAGGTAAGGAACCCTGAAACTTGCTGCTGATGCTGCTGGCTGTTGGTTCTACTCGGTTTGATTACAGATCACCTAATCCAGTGGATTCAGGTTACAATAAAAGAGATTTCAAATAAACATCAGGAGGTACTTTCTGATGGCAAGAGCTGTTTGACAATGGAATGGACTCCCTTGGAAGGTGGTGGTGTCTCCATCATTCAAGATTGGATGGCCATTTGTCATGGATGCTTTACTTGAGATTCCTGCATTACACGGGGTTGGACTAAATGACCCTCAGGGTCCTTTCCAACTCCAGAATACTGTGATATATATATATATTACTAAAAACCAATTCATAATATGCTCCCCTAAATAGTTGCCAGAGTACGGCTAGTTAATACTACTGAGGTAAGGACTAGCTTGGTTCTCATTCAGTCAAGGTTCCAAGGTAACCCATTCCAGCGCGAAACAGCTTTGCTTTAGAAATGGGTATTACATTTCCAGTGTTTTGACCCACCTTCAGACAACAGGTTTAGGAAGGAGAGAAGATTTCCTTACTGTTTTAGAGGACCTTGCAGCTAAGATTAGTTTGAAGAAGCAGAATTCAAGGCCAGGGTTGGAAAAGCAGCCTAGGCTCTGCCCTTCCTTTCTGAGGCCAAGGCCTAAATGATAGGAGTGTGGGGAGCAGAGTACTAAAAAAATATGAGGTTGGTTGTGGGATGGTGAGGGTTTACCTACTTTTCAAATAGGCGGGTCTTCAGCTTGTTTTTCAATAAAATAGCATCCTATTTCCCATCCTATTTTCACAGTGTATCATAATTTGCTTCCCCCCCTGAAGTCAAATCTGCGTTTATTCTAACTCAGATGTGCTGTATTTTTTATTTTATTTTTTAATGAGCTGGTGTTTTCACGTATTCCTCCTTGCTATGTGTTTTCTTGGAGCAAGCCAGTAATCCTGTTAAAATTGACACACTTAGGACCTACTGTGACAAGTTTGTAGGAAAGTGTTACATGAAAACACGAGAGCTTAGCTGCCTCACTTCTCAACGTCAGTGGATAGCGCCATTTCGTACATAGGACTGAGGCTTAGCTGTGTGACTGTCTCCCCTCTCCCGTGGTGGTGGATTATATTATGTCCTAGAAGGATCAAGCAGTGAGTTTTAATGACTAGGGGACTTGGGATATTTCTATTAAGGAGCATGGCTTGCCAGTCTGATATCCAAGTAAGGCCTTTGAAAGCCAACTAGACTCCCTTGTGGATACTGAGAACATGTGCAACTCTTTCACTGTATTCCTCCACACCCCCGTCAGTTTAATATTATTGAAAAGCTATAAACAACAGAAGGGGATTACTAAAATACTGTGCAGAAAGCTTGAAACTATTTCTTCCAATTGCTTTGCTCCGGTTTGAACTTATTCTGTTCAAATTCTTTGGTGGCAGCATCAGCTAATATTTAGCTCACATAACAAGTGCTTGTTTGTTCCCTGTGTGGCATCCAGAAAATGTCCCCCCCCCCAAAAAAAAACCAACAACTTGCACTTCCTGAAAATATAAAAATGTGCAGGAAATACAAGGCCTGCAAAGAACGTCAACTGTTTTGTTTGATACTCTAATCTGGATATGCCACCAGCAGCTTTAGTTACTGGGAAATATTCTGCCATTTAGATTTCAATTTTCCTTGTCGGTGAACAGAGTCAAAAGGACAGTGCAACTGTTTCTTACATTATAGCAAGCATTCTGTTTCTGGGACGCTGTCAGTACCAGTTATGTCACTGTAACAATATGAAAATTAGCAGCCTACGGTAGTCCTTAAGCAGTATTAACAGCAATGAATTGATAGGCAGAAGCCACATTGCAACCATTCCGCAGTGTAAAGTCTTTGTATACTTGGCACATCTTCTGTTCTGAGAGGGTAAAACACAAGTCTTTAAGATAATTTCCCCCAACCTGGTCCCCCCCCCCCGGTGCTTTGGACTACATATTTCCTCATATCTGCCTTCTTGACCACTTTGACCTGCTGAACTGGCATTGGTGGTGCCACTTTGAGGTATTCTACAATCAAGCAGTAAATAAATGTTAATAAATAAATAAGGCACCCATCAGCTCCACCCAGCACAGCCATGCTGGGAGATGTATTCCAAAACATCTGGAGGGCACCAGGTTGGGGAAGACTGCTCTAACATCTTCTATGGGTGTGACCCTTATCATTTTTTTTTGTCATGTACTTGCATCTCCATTTACATATGAAATATAGGATGGTGATGCCATGGAGTATGGGCATAAGAATTGTCCTGCCCTGACCCATGGTTTGGATAAATATTCTGCTTAAATCAGCCTTCTGTCTATTTGTTAATGTGCAGAAAGATGCTGTAAAAGGGAAAGAAGATAGTTTCCTGCCGCAAAAGACTTTAATGGAAAACAAATGAACAGCTACTCTTGTTATTCTGTATTAATGTTTATTTGTTGCATTACACGTGTTTCAGATTGCTATACGACAAATAAAAATGATAAATAATAACAATAAAAAGACGGTTTCCATCTTCTGTTGTAAATACCTAGAATCCAGTCACCAAAAGTATGCCGTCTCTGAAAATCAGAGAATTATCATAGCAATTGAGATGTATATTCAAACTGAATATTATAAAGCCTTTTTTAAATCTGTAAATGTGATGCATGTCCCGTAGGCATTTCAAGTAGCATGAACTTTGATGAAGAGGAGGACGAGGAGGATGAAGACAGCTCAAGTTCATCACAGTTGAATAGTAATACACGACCAGGTTCTGCAACAAGCAAGAAATCAAATAAGGTGAGAACTCTGATGTGGTGAGGCCAGGTCATGGTTCAAACATTTGTCAAGAGTCATCTAGTGCAATTGCTAGAAATGGTAGTATTTTTCAGACTAAAGCCATCCAAACAGATTCCTCTTAAAATCCTTTATAGTGAAAAGATCCCATACTTCCACTGGGCTTTTGGCTCTATTGAAAGCAAATTTAGCATTTGTCGTATGACAAGTGTGATGAGCACAAACAACATAACAAATATTATGCAACATTGTGGTGGGTAAACATTACCTGTGAGACTTGAAGGATATGCTGTAAAGTCATCTATCCCATATGGACTGCTCCTGATCATAAGCTGTTGTGTGGCAAACAGATCAAACGGTTGGCTATTGCTGACTAATGCCGCACGTTTCCCGCTTTCTCCCCTCCCTTAGTAGCAGTGTAGTGACTTTCCTAATTATGGCTGAAGGCACAGGGCCAATGAGAAACCGCGTCAGAGCTATTCTGCCTGGCTGGCTGCCCTCATCAAACTTCTGAGTGGCAGTGCAATCCTAACTACATATAGTCAGGAAGAAGTCCTGCTGAGTACATTGAATATTAACATTTCATCAGATCTTGATAGGGTCAGGATTGCAGCGTACACTGGCGCCTGGGTTTCATCGACCATTTGGAAACCCCAGTTTTCCCAATGTTGTCAATTCAGCACATGGTCTTTGATACACGGGATGTTTGTGGTCCCTTCCAACTCTACAGTTCCATGGTTCATTGAGGACATATTGCCCGCATTCTGGCTTTTGCCCAGTTCAGGCGTATCCCCTTTTCCAACGCAGATCCTGCGGGCCACACTTCTGCTCTTGCTTGCCTTTAGAATGACTGGATCCTGCTGTCTTTTTTTAAAAAAATGACAAAGTAATAATCATAAATAAAAAATAATAATAATGTGCACCCCACAACTGAGACCATTCCATTGTAACTATCCATCCTCCCAAAATTTCAACACCTCTTGCGATAGTTTGACCCCTTTCCATTTTAACAGTACAAATTCTACAAACACCTTCCATATCTCCTCAAAATCATTCATCCTGCATATTCCCCATCTTACCTTAATGGCACATGTTAATTTATCATTCATAGCTATACCCCATACCTCTTTACACCATTCTTCCATTTTACATTCTGCTTGGCCCTTCCATGTCCTAGCTATAATAATTCGTGCAGCTGTCAATAAATTTGTGAGCAAATTTGTGTCTCTCTTTTAAGCACATGGTCGCTTTTCTTCCTCTCCTAGGAGTCGGCCTCTGGGCCTAGCCCTTCGACAAACAACCCCGTCATAGACGTAGACGACCTGGAGGTGTTTGCTGTGAGACCTGCTCCTCAGGGGGTTACTGTCAAATGCCGAATCACAAGGGACAAGAAGGGAATGGACCGTGGAATGTACCCTACTTACTACCTCCACCTGGAAAGGGAAGATGGGAAAAAGGTCATAAAGCAGATCTTGCTGGTTGCATATAAAACAGCAAAAGAAAACATGCAGAAACAAGCTTGTGGGAAAATCCCTATACCCAGAATTTGGACCATCCACCCTCAACATATAAATGCTTAAAGCTGAGAGCACATTATAACCTGCAAGCAGAGAGAGAAAAATAACATAACAATATGCTTTAATCTTGTACATGCTTTCCTGGGAGTAAGTCCTATTTAATTCAGTGGGATTTACTTCTGAGTAGACCTGTATAGGATTGCCCGGTTAAGAGACCAAACTCCCCTATGTTCTCTGCATTATTTATAATTAGGAATAGTATATATGATTATTGAATAACCACTTGAATGTTAACATTTAATTTCTGAGCTTGGACAGGGTTTGTTTGTTCCATTAAAATGTTTCATTCAAGTATTTCCCCAGTGCTAAGTGTCACAAGACACACTCTCAAACATGGAAATTTATTGCTTTATTAACTGTATACAAACAGAGACGTTTAGATGCTGTGTCTCATTAGGACATTCCTAGTGACGCAACCCAATCCTGAGCCATATGCAAATAATCAAAAGTAACCAAGGAGTGGAATGGGGAGCTGCCTCTTAAAACATGCTCTTCTTGCATCAGATATGGATGGTAAACATTTTAGGGCAGTTTCACACATTTCTAATTGCCATGTGGTGGCCATTGAATAGCAGTTCCAAGAGTCCATGCAGCTGACTTGATGTCTGGAATCAGCTTCGTATTGTAGATGGTCAAATTGTACAGAAGTACACGAAGTGTAATCCTACACATATTTATTCAGAAGTAAATCACACTGAAATCAATAGGACTTGCTCCCAGAGAAGGGTCCATAAGATGCAGCCGTAGGTCAGCTCATTAGACCACAGGGAAGTACAACCCTGGTTTGGGATATTTAACATGCCATCCTGCCGGTCCATGTGGAAAGCCAATGCCACATGCTACAATAGCTCCATGGAGCTGGGAGTATGCTGAAATGATTTTCAGAAACATGTCAGAGTAGCTTGCATTCTCTTTTCTTTCTGAATGTGTTAGCAACACATGGTACCTTGGGTTACAAACGCTTCGGGTTACAATCGCTTTGTGTTACAAACTCTGCTAACCTTGAGTTGCGAACTTTGCTCCAGGATGAGAATGGAAATTGTGTGGCAGCAGGAGGCCCTATTAGCGAAAGCGCGACTCGGGTTAAGAATAGACCTCCGGAATGAATTAAGTTCGTAACCCGAGGTACCACTGTATTGGGAAACTTGGGGAAAGGGTAATGCAATATTCACTCCCATGTCGCTTCAGGTAGTTGTCTTTTACTTTATACTTTGTCCTTAGAAGTCATTATGCTTGGAGAATTCAAGTGATTAGTAGTTGGACTCTCTACCCTTCTGACCTGAACTGGCATCTGTTTTCCTTTTACTTGAAGGAAACTGTTCAAGCTCAAATTAAACATTTAACAAAGTGTACTAGGTTTAATTATTTAAACCATAAATAATGGATCGAAGGAAGTAGTTTCCTCTGCTGATTTTTTTTAACCCCCTTTTTTTGCTAACTTTCCCTTTGGCCTTCTACATTTTTGCTGATGATACTAAACCCCAAGAAAATTAGAGTCCGTTTTCTTTTTCTGGTGGTTCTATCAGATTCTGCCTGGAGTGTGACGTTTTGTTCCACTTTCAAATTCCTCAGGTATTTTTGTTAGCTGGAAGAAAGCGAAAGAAGAGCAAAACCTCAAATTACCTCATCTCCATTGACCCTACAGACCTGTCACGAGGAGGAGAGAGTTTCATTGGAAAGCTAAGGTAAAGGTTTAGTTTTTTGAGGCAGGGACAGGGAACCTCTGGTCTTCCAGATGTTCTTAGACTCCAACTGCATCAGCTCCATCCAGCATAGCCAGTGATAAAAGATGACAGGAGTTGGAGTCCAGTCACATCTGAAGGGCCACAGGCTCACCATCATTGATTTAGGGTATATTCTAAGATAATCAGATAAACATTTTGGGATTCAGGATACCAGTGGTAACACTGAAAGCAAACCTTTAATATCAGTCCCTGTTTACATTCCTACTACCTTCTTTAGCTCTTGATGGAAAGTCGCAATTGACAGCAATTCACAAAAGAATCAAGCGATCACTGCTCCTCATTTTGCATAATGGAGCCAAAAGGCTTCCATTGATTGATTGATTGATTTGCTGTCCATTCACACACTGCAGTAACTTGCCGCATAACTTGGTTTAATTACCCCCTTAATTAATTTTAACTACTATTTTTATTTACACAAGCTGGAGTGATTAAAGGGTGGTAAGGAAACTGGCATTCTAGCCTCCCAAGAGCATTGGGAAGAAGGGGGCTAATGAGAGATAGAAGTGCCACTGTAGCAGAGTCAGGAGATGGGGAAGAGCCAAAGTCATACCCTCCCAGGAACAGTGTCGCTGCGCATCCCTCCCTTGCTGCGACCCAGTCCATCACTCCCACCAGTGTGCTCGGCTGGCCTCCTCACCCCCTACCTCTTCTCACTGGGCGAGCCACTCCTGGGCAAGTGGTTGACTTGATCCAGGAAGACCTGAGTTCAAACCCCTTTTCAACTATGAAGCTTGCTAGCAGCAGACACATATCTCGCAGCCCAATATAACTCACTGGATTGTAGTGAGGATAAACAGGGGAAAGCCATGTAGGCTACCCAGAGCTCTTTGAAGGAGAGGGGAGATACAGGTATTAATGATAGTGGTGAGTATTAATGCTGCATGATTTGCTTCAGGATAGAAGTATGCTTTTATGAAGGCTTCATAATTGGTTCACATGGGATCATATCTCTAGCCTTGATACATTTCTCTGAGATTTTGTGAAATTCATTTCAGAGTCTTATAGTAACGGTAGCTCAATCTGGCTTGCCTCTTATTGTATGCAGCCTCCAGAACCTCTGCACTCTCTGGGATTATGATATCCCAGATACACTGGAGAGAGAGAGAGAGAGAGACAGAGACAGAGAGAGAGACAGAGACAGAGACAGAGACAGAGACAGAGACAGAGACAGAGACAGAGACAGACAGACAGACATTCTGAGTGCTTAAGGCTCAAATGATGATAATCAGTAGCAGGCAATGAAGGTAATCCATTGTTTTTCCTCTCTAATAGATCAAATCTTATGGGGACTAAGTTTACAGTGTATGATAATGGAGTAAACCCAATGAAAACAACGTTGAGCTTGGAGGCAAGTAATCTGCGTCAGGAGCTAGCTGCTATTTGCTACGTAAGTACCATTCATAAGCAAATGTTTTTCAGTAAGGTAATTAATAATCAAGCATGCAAAGCTGTACCAACCATTCAACACATTTGTGACCCACACCCATACCTAAATCAGGGATGCCCATCGGGGGAAGCCAGAGAGCAGTGATGCCTTTTGCCTGGTCGGTGCTGCGCTCAGACTGTCTTCCCAGCGCATCCTCCTCACCGCTATCACACTTGCTGAAAAATAAGAGGATGTCCAATGATTCCCCTGCTGTCTTGTGTAGTTCTTTTAACTGAGGAAGCCAGATGCTCCCCCATCCAGTTCAAATGAGGAACAGCGGCATCATGTCCAAGGGAGGTGCAGTGACCAAGTGCCTCTAGGAAACTATGACTACCTTTAGGAGCAGATTTTTCAGTGAGAAATGGGCACTGGCCTTGATGCTCTTACATTAAGTCTAGGTAAATAAATTGTGCAAGAGTGGGGTTCATTTCTCTAGGTTTATTATTGGACACCTAGGCCTCTTATGCAAAAGCAGATCACAGTGTATAATCAGAGGTGGTGTAAAACCAGAGTAAATGAGACTGGTGGCTGTGTCCGTTGATTCATTCTGGCCATAAGACTGAAAATATCTGCATCCATTTGCTAATGATAGTGAATGTTGTTTGCATGAGTCATTCCAACCCCAGCACAGATGTACTCGGGATTTCTTTACCCTCAAATGACCCATTTCTGCTCAAGTCCTAGACTTCCCTGGAGCAAAGGCGACTTGCTGAAATGAGCATCTGATATACAAGATGCAAAATGCTCTTAGCTCACGATGATCACATGCTCCTTTGCTGTGCCTGGGTCAAGCAAACTGCTGGTTCCGCTGTGGGTCTGAGTCATCCAGCCTGCTTTGAGTTGCACAAGCAAAGCCAAAGGTTGGCAGTAGATTCACAACCAATTGCCAGATATTACAGGACGGAAGAGAAACCCTAGTCAGCGTTCAATTTATAAAATGAGAGGTGCTTGGCCTGCCTCCAAATCATTTCCAGTGCATTGGAAACTGTCATCCTTAATTCTAAATGAATAGGACCTGGGTGAAAGAAAGACTCTCTGCAAATGATCGAAGTTCTTTCATAAGTTATTAGGTTCAGTCCTGATATTTAAAATGGACTCTCAAGGCAAAGGCTTGCATCAGATTAAGCCCTATGCAGGCACCCCCCCCCCATTTACATGGGGGTTACGTTCCAAGGCACTGCACATTTAAGTGAAATCATGTATGTTTGAAACGCCATTGAAAAAGCCTGCAAACACCCTGTTCTGCTCCTTTTTGTGACATTTTTGGGTCCCTTCCAGGTTCTGTGCAATGCGCTTGTGCACGGTTGCACATATATTGAAAGTGCTTAAATGGGGGGGGGTTGCTGTACCTTGTGCAAGCTTCTTTGTATTAAGATCAGCAACGTGCTGGAAGCAAGAAAGTCTGAGAAACTCAGGAACCACTCATCACAAAAGTTTGTTTGTTTAATATATTGTATTTACACATTGCTTTCCCACCATGCTGGGATTCAAGAGGTATTTGAGTAAAGCACTTCAGATGTTTTTTAAGATCATACACTGCATGGTCATTTTGTATATTATAGCCCACATTTGGGAGCATTCTTGGTTACATATCTGTGGAAGAATGTGTGCATGCTTTCGTAGTTCACCTCACAGGATTATGTGCAAAAAAGTTGCATGAGTGGATGATCAATTCCGACAAAAAATTCCCCATGCCTGTGTGCATAGGAGATGTCCCCAAAACGCCACATTCTATGCAAATTGCTGAATCGGATCAGAAGTGGCCCCAAAATGCATATTCACTTAAGGCCTGGGTGTGTACATTTTCAAACACTCATGACTTTAGAGAAAACCCAGGATCCTGAATGGCTTTCAAAACAAGGCAGTCCTACAGAAATGGCACTGCTGCTGATTAATAAATCTGCAGCTGCACCTAATGGTCATAGTTAGAACTGCAGCAGAAGAGAGATTGCAGCCAAGTCCTTAGAAATATAACAATTAGTGAGAAATTGTCTGTTGCTGACCTCTTGACCACTTACATGCAATTTAGTTTGCATAAAACTGTGACATGGACCTCAGTTCCCAGTTATCAAGTTGGGCTGCAGTGCTCCAACAGTTTTTGTATTACTACCGTTGAAATAAGTGTGTGCAACTGACGACGCAGTTTTTGCAGTTGTGCACTTAACATTACTCAACTGTGATAATGGGTTAGAATTCACCTGCATGTGTGTGCTGGGTGCAGTTTTGAACAACTTGCAATCACAAAAATAAGGTGGGTCCTGAAAATTTGCACTAACTGTCAAAAGCCACTTGTTGCGTTCTTGTTAATGATACTTGTTGTTGGGTAGCGCAGAGCTGTAGCCGGTGCTGAAGTGTCTGCACATGTTTAAACTTTATGCAAAGTATGTTTTATGAAGCGCCTACATTTTCCCTTTCCCCGTGAACTTACAAGGTAAAATTGAATATTTCGGGACGCTGTTGGCCAACAGTGGGGTGGCTTTGTAGCAACACCTTTGTTGGCTAATTACTGTTTTATCATCAGTGATATTTGTTTGGAAAGACTGACTTCCAAAGGAAAGATTTGTGGTATTCAAAACGCTTCTCCTATTCATTTCAAAACAGGAAACAAATGTTTTGGGGTTTAAAGGTCCTCGTAAGATGAGTGTCATCATACCAGGGATGAATATGGACCATGAGAGAGTTTCCATCAGGCCACGCAATGTAAGTCACTCTTCTCAGTAAAACTAGCTCACCTGCAAGGACTGTGGGCGCATTTGTTTAAGCTAAGGGTTTGCCAGCCTCTTCATAATGAGTCTCAAGTGTGTGGGGGAGGGTGCATACTAAGCCAAGTTGTTGTTGATGATGATACATTTAAATATCTAAAATAAAAGTAAATGTCACAGGCTGTGGAGGAGGGATACTGGAGATACAAAAAACCTAGCTGCCATAAAGCAGTGATAGAACGGATGCTTTTCATGCCAAAGGTTCCACATTCAATCACTGGCATTTCCAGATTAGGAGAGAACACTGAACAGAGATAATACTGAGCTCAAAGTTCTGTCTTAGTACTGTGTGCTAGGTTCCTAATCTGAGTTTCACAGATTACTGCAGGTGAGATTTACCCAAGGTGCTGGTCAATAATATTCTCATGGCTGCAGCTGCCTATGCCAATTTCTTCTTCTAAGTTCCATGTGCAGAAGCAGACGTGCTTAGCTCATCTCCAGAGACAACTACATTTAACTAACTTCTACTCATAGTAGACTCACTGAAATTAAGAAGCATGACTAATCTAGGTCCATTAATTTCAGTGAGTCTACAGTTGAGTGGAAGCTAGCTGACAACAACACTCAGTGCAAGGAATTCAAGGAACTTAAGCATTGTCATGGACCTTTAACCCCGTGAGCATTGCAAAAAGCTGCTTTCACTGTGGTATGGTAAAATTCAGTGCACAGAGCTCTGTGCTTGCTGTCAGGGTTGCCACTCTTCTGCGCGTGGTACCGGTGGCTTCTCACATCTGCATACATAAAAGCTGTCATGCTTGCTGAAGTTGTGAGAATGGGTCATTAACAAGGAGCCTCTGAATGATAGGTGGCTTTTCTTTTTTAGCAAATACAGTCTGCACAAGATACTAGTGGCTACAGCTCTGCATACAGAGAAGCTGTCATGTTAGCTTAAATCATGTATCTCAGGAGTTTCCCTGATTCATATTTAATATATGAAATCTTTAAATAAAAAAGCCACTTGTCTCTCTGTCATGGTCTTCAATCTCATCACCAATAAAGGAGACACTTGGAGAATAGTTTTGGCACCTGACCTTGAAGTGTGGGCAGACAGATATGGGAGATATGGGGGCTGCATGTAAAGACTGTTTTTTGAGAGAGTGATGGCATGGGGGTGGGGACATTCTGATGTTGCATAAACCAAAAGTGAAAAGTGGGCTTTTGCTAAAATGATGTCTTTTCCTTGGCTTTCATAGGAGCATGAAACTCTCCTGGCAAGGTGGCAGAATAAAAACACAGAAAGTGTCATTGAGCTGCACAACAAAACTCCAGTCTGGAACGATGACACCCAGTCTTACGTTTTAAATTTCCACGGTCGCGTGACACAGGCCTCAGTGAAAAATTTTCAAATTATTCACGATAATGATCGTAAGTACAGCTGCTATAGCAAAACTGCCTGGAAATCCTGTTTATTTGTCTGAAATCTGATAAACAGAGGGAGAGAGAGAGAGAGAGAGAGAGAGAGAGAGAGATTCTGTTTTTGTTACACTTTGCTCAGTGTCCAGTCCCCCAACCGTTCTGTGGATGCAAAGGCTTGACACAGAAGATGAGGAAGTAGGGTAGCCTGGTGCTTTCTAGATGTCTTAGGGTACAGCTCATACCATCCTTCACCATTGGCCACGCTGGCAGGGGTTGACAGGAGGTATAGTCCTAAACATCTCAAGGCTACCAGACTGGGGATGGCTGAACTATTGATAACTAGTTCACAGAATTAACCAACACCGAGCAATTTGACTTCACCATGGAACTTAGTCAGAGCATGTACTAGTTTTTGAGAAAGTTGGAAGGTTTTATGTTGGGGGGTATAGCTTTTGGTGGTGTACACACTCATTTGCTATTGTCACTGTTGCCTCTAGTTAAATAGGTTTTGCATGTTGCTTTTTTTTTTAATATGGCCACCGAAAGTGATGAAACCTGAAACAGAGGTAGTGGAATGAGCATGCGCACCATGGGGATCAAGGCCTTTGCTACACTGTGATGTGCCCCACAGTTTATGGGGAGAGGAGACTTACACCCCTTAACATTTGCCTGGCTGGAAAGGATTAACAGTGAAGGCAAAGAGTGTTGGGAAAGGCTACTATAGAGTGAGTTCAGTCAGGGTAGCAGGCTGGGGAGCTGAGGTGGGGGCGGGGGAGAAGGATGCTTTGCCCCTCTCTTCCTGATTGCTGCAGCTGCCTTCCGCTTCTCTATTCATCTCCTCTGCATCTCTGTATCCTTTTTCTGTTTCCTGGCTCTGCCCTTTATGAGGACATCCTTGGTATGAGAGGAAGCGCCAGGCAATTCACAGCTGGCCAGCATCTCAATCATGCCCCTTTCAACTCTCTAAAGGAAACTGTCTCCCAGGCTGAATTCATTGAATCTGGGTGGTGAAAATGATTTTTCATCTTTCCCTGCTTTATATTTTGGACTGCAAGTTAGTGTGACACACACTCAATACACAGAACCTTATATTGATGTCCTTGTACTGTGTTTCTTTACTCCCCACCCCACCCCCACCCTCTTTCAGCTGACTATATTGTGATGCAGTTTGGCCGTGTGGCAGAAGATATTTTCACTATGGACTACAACTACCCAATGTGTGCACTTCAAGCCTTTGCTATTGCCCTGTCCAGTTTTGACAGCAAGCTGGCTTGTGAGTGAACTAGCTTACATCCGAGTCTCACTACCGCCAGGACCACATGCCACCAGAAGAAGGAGGAGTAAAGAGATGTTCCAGGTTTTCTCTGGTGTCATCACTGGTTTCATGTTTTAACGGGGCAGGTAAAATTTGCTTTTTTGAAGGACCAACCCTTTTGCTGGAGAGAAAATATTTTAAAATTCAGGACTTTCAGGAAATATTTTTTTTCTCCATCTAGTCTCTATTTTTTTCTGGAAGGGGCATCAGAGATCTGTAAATAGAAATCCTATCTTATGTCCTCAGTTATGTGATGAAGATGTGCCATGAGGTACTGTATCATGGCTTAAAGTGAAAACACCATCGAGAGTGGTGCTTTTTCTTCTTCTTTCCTAAATCCATGACAGCTACCGCAACACAAATCTGGTTTTAGATTTAAGAAGTATTCAGAGGCTGTAAGCATACCTCAAGATCGCGTTAAATTCCTTGAGAGCTTCACATCACCCACTTTAGAAACAAGACCACGGGAAAGATGCACTTTAAAAAAACACACACGCACCCAGAGATGAAGGTAGCATTTGGTCTCAAGGCCAAGACCAAACTTAATTTGTTATATTGCTTACGTGGGAGGGGCCTGGTGAATTTTTAGTCATGATGGGAGATGGGCGAGAGAGAAACAGGAAGCACAAATTAATGTTGCACAAGTCACTTGTAAGCAAAGTTGTCATTTTATAGTCGTGTTTTAATTTAAACCTTACTTTCAAATGCAAAGTCATTGTTATTTTTCAAGGAGAGAATCTGCACTCTTGCAAAATTGCCATATGGATGCTAGAAATTATGTTATCTCATAAGTCATATCTGGGGAACTTCCTGTTGTCATCAAGAGCACACATTCAGTTTGCATGTATGATGCCTTGGGTTCAATCTGTGGCACATTCAGTAAACACAGAGTTGTGGGACCTCTGACCCACCAGGTTTTGCTTGATTTCACCTCCCAAGCATGGCCAATGCTTGGGGATGAGGGGGTTTGTAGTCCAGCAACACCCAGAGGTCTGCAGGTTCCACTTTTCTGATCTTAAGATTCTGAAGAGCTGGGCTGGAAGACTTGAAGAACTGCTGCTCATGAACATTGTCAATATTGAGCTGGCTAAATTCAGGTCACCTCCATATGTTCTGTATGGCACTCAGTTACTTGGATGAAGACCTCTTCAGACAACTGCCTCTGTGGCAGCTGTTTAGAAGATAATGCAGCTATTGCAAAATGTTACGGTTACAAAATATGTCCTGCCCTTTTGAGGACAAAATCTAGAATTACCATATGCTAAACCTACAGTGACTGATACTGTCCACGTATCTGTTTTCATAGCAAGGACTATTAAGTTGCACATTGATGTGAAAATACCACCCACCGAGACTGAGCCAGTTTGCTGTGCAAGTGTATTTTAGGTTACACGCAAAAGTGGACATGAAAATTTGTGGTGGACATGCAAATTTATTTTTTAAAGTGTCCCAGTTTTAAATATATACTATGCTGCCTTTTAATTACTAGATCAAAATGTTTCAGAAGAGTACAGGCTGTTGAATATCCTAATTTCTTGTATTTTAAGTTCAGAAAAAGGTACTACAAATTGAGCTGAAAGGATGGTTCGCCACTTTGGTCCAGATTCAGAGGGAGAATGCAGGAAGGCAAAGCACACAGCTTGGGAGAAACCAAGGTGCCATGCGAGTTGTAGGAAGACACTCTTTCTTGGCCATATCAAGAGAAGGCTGGGAATAAACAGCTTCACCACCAGTACCATACAAGGGTTACCGGGATTCACTTGGGATGTATGTCATGGTGTAGTGGGCAAGAAGTACTTCAAAATCTCCCCTCCTAAGTCAATACACATTAGCATTCTATTATTGGATGACAACGAAGCAGGGACCATGCCCCAAGATGTTGAGAAACCCTAATATAAAGCCAGTTCACACAGCACAAGGATTCACCCAACCCAGTGAATTTCCATTTTCTGTGGGATGATAGCCGATTATGAGAGTGGTGAAATACTTTCATGTGGCCATGCAATATGCAAGGAAAGAGATTTGCGGCATCCCAGATTATGGATTAGCTAAAAACCCACTGCAAAACTCTGCCAAGGAACTCTACATAAAAATCTGATAGAAGAGCTTTATGGCAGAATCCAAAAGAGCCTTATTCAACATTCTTTTTTTTATTTTAAATATTTATATGCCAGTCTTCACCCTATTTAGGATTTCAGGAGCAATTATATCATGATACATATACAATAATAAAACAGTTAAAGGTGGCAATGTTAGAATGCCTAGGTAAAGAATAACACATTTGCCTGGCGCCAAAGATTGCAATATAGGTGTCAAGCTAGCCTTTTTTTTAAAGAGAGGACATGGCATGAGAGAGGAAAAACTGCTGGAAAAAAAGCCTTTCTTTTGTTTGTTTTTTATTTACATGTATTTATAAACCACTTAATATTTAGAAAAAAATCCAAAGTGGCATACAATTTTTTAAAAAATACAACCTAATTTCAAAAATCCTCATTGACCAGTGAAATAAAATAACTTGCTAATGTTGCTTGTTGGCGTCAGTTGTTTAAATAGCATACCTTCACTAATCTTAAAGCAAGAGCAGATTGATATTAGAAGAATTAGATTTAGGCTGATTTCTGTGGACCTGTTCTCCGAGAAAGAGTGTTACAGCCTCAGAAACGTGACCATCAGCCAACCAGACATTTCCTCCAATTTACCAAATATTTGTATGATAAGAAAATAAGATCCAAGGACGCGGCTGTGATGAGAGTTTGTATCCATCCGGACTGTGTGATTTTAGATATTCAGATAATTATGTTCTGTGTATTTGCCTCCTGTGGGGAGGTAGATTTTTACAAAGAAGGGAGCAAGTGGATTTCCTTGTTCAAGTGTGCATTTGAATTATTGTTGCTTTTTAATGCCTTTATTTCATAGATTCTTTCAGCAAGGCAAAGGGGCCTCAGTGGGATTATCAGTAGCAATTATTTCCAAAGTGGGTAGCTGGGAAGACTTGAGTGAGAGTTTGTTTATGCCTTGGGCCAAGTTATCAAAATATTCTAAACAGGGAGAATTGTTGCTGTCTTTCCCCACCATCAGTCATTACAGAAAAGACATGCATTAAGCACCAAAGAATTTCAGGTTTTAGATTACTAGAGATTTGGATTCAGGGGCACCTTATCAAAGTGCATGCGAGGGAAGCAAGATTCACAGCAACAAATTAGGCTTTTAAAAAAAATTCTTTGTGGCTGGAAACCAAAACAACTGTGAAGAGCTTACTTACTCCGCCAAACCTTTATTAGGCATTACAATTCTAGGCCAACATAAAACATCCATATATAAAATTTTAAAATATATACGAATAAACAGCCATGCAAAATATATAATAATGAGGATTTTAATTGGGATTTCTTCCCGCTAAATAGTGCCATTCACCACCCGAAGACATACTGTTGACAAAAACTCAACCACCCTTGCAGTTACTTCCAGGTTGATGTCAGACAGATAGAATCTGATATTTTCATTGTGCCATGATGTTAGACTACCCAAAAAAGAGGATAGCACACATTTTATGTAACTGGTTGTACAATGGACAGTAGAAAAGAATTTGTTCTACCGTGTCCAGAACATTCAAAGAACATCCACAATGTCTGTCATTTCTGGGGAAATTTCAAGAGGAAGCATTTCCAAGGCCTTAAGTGCAGTAACCAAATAGTCTTAAGGAAATAGTAATCATAAAGGATAGCGCTTTGGAGAAAAAGGTGTTTCGATTGCCAAAAGAATCTACATCTCTGCGTTTTACAGCACCCTTGTTTGTTAGGAGGACTTGAATAGGTCAAGTGTTTGGGCAGCTGGGCTGGGCAAGATGGTTTATAAAGTTATGCATTGAATGGGGAAAAAAGTGGATGCCTCCCAACATTACCAGAATTTAGGGGTCAGCCAGTGAAATTGATCACGAAGCTGTTTGTTCACACAATGCATGATTAATAAATGGAATGTTCTGCCACAAGGTGAAGCTTTGGGCACCAGCATGGCACTTTCAGAAAGGAGCAGACATTCTTGGGCTATTAAACATCATAGCTAAAAGGGTATCCAGGTTTAGATGCAAAATGTTACTGAACTGGGTTTTTGGGGGGTACCGGTTACTTAAGTTCTCAAAGGGGGTGAACTGCTTCCAGGGCTCCCTCCTTCCTGGAAGTTTTACGCTGCTCCAAAAAGCATTGCTCTAATCCCAGGTGTGTGGAGAGTGGCTGTAGTTTCTCAGTGATGAGGAAAACAACTCGGCATGCACTCAGGTGGAGCACTGAGGCTGACATTTGGCCCTAGCACCTGTCTCAAATGCCAGCCTCAGTGCTCTACCTGAGCGCAAAGCTGAGTTGTTTTCCTCTTCACTGAGGAACTACGGCCACTCTCCACATACCTGGGATTAGAGCAACGCTTTTTGGAGCAGAGCATACTAAATGGTAACCATGTTCACAAAGAAAATCAGGATTTATTTTTTGTATATATACTGGGTGAATCTTTAAAAAAAGGCCCTGTGGAGCATGAGTACTCTGTATCCATGGGCCTCTTTTAAAGGACTCACCCTGTACACACACACACACACACACACACACACACACACACTCTTAAGAAAAAACAATATATACCGTATTTTTCGCTCTATAGGATGCACCGGACCATAGGACGCGCCTTGTTTTAGAGGGGGAGAACAAGAAAAAATAATTCTTCCCCTCTCTGCTCAGCGCCCCTTCAGCGAAGCGGCAGGAGAAATGGAGCCCCTTCCATTTCTCCTCCCGCTTGACTGAAGGGGCGCTGCGCTGCTCTCCCTCTCTGCTGAAGCCAGGAGAGTCTTGCTCTCCTGGCTTCAGCAAAAGGAACCTGAAGCCTGCGGAGCACAGCGGGAACTCGCGCTGCACTCCGAAGGCTTCAGGCAGCTATCCCTGAAGCCTGGAGAGTGAGAGGGGTCAGTGTGCACCGACCCCTCTTGCTCTCCAGGCTTCAGCGAAAGCAATGCAAAGCCTCCGGAGCGCAGAGGGAGCGCTCCCTCTGCGCTTCGGAGGCTTCACGTTGCTATCGCTGAAGGCAGGGAGCCTGCATTTGCTCCATAGGACGCACACACATTTCCCCTTAATTTTTGGAGGGGGAAAAGTGCGTCCTATAGAGCAAAAAATACGGTATTTGTTTTTGAATACTGACTGACTGCTTTTCTAACAAAAGCACCTAAGGCCACAACAAAACCCATATTTCACGCATGTAGCTGGTGTACAGCATCATCCTAGACAAAAATGCAATCCTCTGAATATGGAGAAAATGCAATATCCTGGCCATATAAGAACATACCTGTTCTCCGCACAGTGTTATTCTTAGAAATGGCATTATTCTAGCAGCAGAGAAATATCAAGGTGATTGTTGTGTAAATGCCAGAGAAATAAAGGATTAGGGTGAGCAAGGTTCTGCTGCTCATGCAGAATGAAAATGAAAGGCAAATAAACTAAAGCCGACTTATAAAACACTCTAGAAAGTATATTCCATTTCTGCCCCACCTATATTGCTCCAATGGCTGTCATTACTAAAGGTTATGCTGCAACTGCTTGCCTATCCAGAGGCTGCCACCCTAAATATACTAGGGAGCAGGCAAGCATGGGGTGCCACTCTTGGCATAGTTGGTTTTCTTCTACAAATCTGACTTAGAGGCTACAGGGTTGTGTCCGGTTTCAATCACCTCCAAAAGAAAAGAGGCACTAGTTGAAGGCACTTTCATAATACAAACCTAACCATGTTTACACAAAAAAAATTCCTTCCAGTAGCACCTTAAAGACCAACTAAGTTAGTTCTTGGTATGAGCTTTTGTGTGCATGCACACTTCTTCAGATACACACATGTGTATCTGAAGAAGTGTGCATGCACACGAAAGCTCATACCAAGAACTAACTTAGTTGGTCTTTAAGGTGCTACTGGAAGGAATTTTTTTTTGTTTTGACTATGGCAGACCAACACGGCTACCTATCTGTAACTGGAACATGTTTACACAGAAACAGGTCCCTGTCAGTTCAGTTGACTTGCATTATTCCGACAGAGTAAAAACTGCAGAAGGCCCAACATATTTGATAGTCCATTCGAGAATTAGGTTGCCCTGCACACAGATCCTAGGCACACTTACTCAAAGGTTCATTCCCACTTGGTTCAATGGCTAAATAGGTGCGCTCAGCGTTACAAACTAAAGCAGTCATCTTTGTTAGCAAAGGAAAATAGATTCCGTAGCTCACTTTTATGCACATCCCTGTCCCTGTGGGCACCCAAGTCTTAGGCTGTAGGTGGGCTCCTGTGGGGGTGGGAGTAAAGAAATAAAAGTTCACCTCCTTTTCTGCTATAATTCCTTCTCCAACCCCTCCTGGTTTAACTTGTCACAGTCTTCTTTAGAAGCAGCATTCTGTGGAATTGGAAGTAAATGCTAAGTGTCTCTTAAGATGATGCTTGCAATCTGCATTTTTAATATTAATAATACTATTTTTTAATATATACCCTGCCCAGCTGTCTGGGTTGCCCCAGCCACTCTGGGTGGCTTCAAAAACATATAAAAATATAATAAAACACCAAACATTAATAAAAACAATCTGATCCGATATAAAAAATGTCACAGTAACCTTAAAACAAACAACTTATATCAAATAAACAATACTGGATAAGCCATTAAGATCTAATAGTAAACAGTAAAATTAAACAGCAGCAAATAATAATTAAACAGTTTACACTTATCAATTACAATAAGAATTACTAATCTATAATCAATAAAAATAACAGCGAATCGCAATGCATAAAAATACCACAAAAGCATATACTTATATTTTAAATCTTCTGTCCAGTTTATCAAGAGCACCTTTTAAATTTATGGATGACTTGCTAAAAAGAGCCACACTTCTGCTCAGTTAAGCTTTGCAACAGCAATTCCTCCCTGCAGGAGAGGGTGACCTCTTTGGGTAGTCTGCCCCCAGAAACTAATTTTATCTAATGGATGCCTGCCTGTGTGCTCTAGTGGGGGTGGGATTTCCCAGTGGCTAGAGCTGGCCATCCAGTTGAGGCCCTTGAGTCACTGATGGCAATGAAACAGGCCAAATGATGTCTAGAGCATGAGTGGCACAAGACCTGCACAAGAAGTTGAGTGAACACAACTTAGTGCACATAATGATACGTACTATAAGATGGCGTAGGAGGTGAAGGTCTACTTGGCATCCTTGTTCACATCCTCAAGTAGCCACCTGGTGAAACTCTCCAGAGGGGTCTGCGGACATGAGCTTCGGTGACCCGGCAACAAAGTAGCTCGTCTCTCTGCAGCACACAAGGATAGTGTGGCTTTTATTGCAGATATGTAGAGGTTTGTCAGCAGATGGGTACAGTGGTTACAGCTTCAGGTTACAGACTCCGCTAACCCAGAAATATTACCTCGGGTTAAGAACTTTGCTTTCAGGATGAGAACAGAAATTGTGCTCCAGCGGCACGGCAGCAGCAGGAGGCCCCATTAGCTAAAGTGGTGCTTCAGGTTAAGAACAGTTTCAGGTTAAGAACGGACCTCCGGAACGGATTAAGTACTTAACCCGAGGTACCACTGTATATGGAAAGGGTTTCTAAAAGCAGAAGTTTGAAAACTAACCCTCTAACATGTTTGTTACCAGAATGCTTTAGACAGAAGCCATGGCTGTAGAAAGCAGGTACCAGTTTGTAGTGCAGGTATGCCCTATACTGTCCTGGATTTTACGCCAGCCTGTTTCATTGCATCCCAAAACAGCAAAACCCACCATCCCGCCTGTTTAATGTGCCTTATTCATGAGACACTTTATGATTTGCTACATTTTGATACCTAGGCAGCTTTAGTGAAAGCATGAATGGGCAAAGAACAAAAAGCCGTGTGCAATGGCAAACCGACAAATCAGTCAAGCCCCTCTGCCCCCAAATTTGGAAGATTGCATGAATGGTTGAATTATCTAGAGATATTTCCAAACAGTCAAGAAATAGCTTTGGTTATGGTTGTTTCATTTTTGTAAACACACAGCCTTGGAGGAAAAAGCATTTGTTGACCTCCTGGGTTATTTCCCCGCCATTTGAAAGCATTGGCTGCCAGCATGAAATGTACATTGGATTTCTTTTGAAAGCAGCGTTTGAAACTTCTGCGATACCAACGTATAAATAAAAGTGCCACTATTTTAGGTAATGCAGTAATGTGGTGCAGGGAAAAAGTCCTGCAAGGCAAGCATTTTAAAAGCTAGAAAGCTCATTGTCAACAGACTCTGGACAAATTCAGCACACTAAGTGGCAGAGTGCATTCTCTGTCTCTAAAACAACTTGCAAAGAGATTTGGGTTACATGGGCGTGCCTTGAGGCTGTACAACAAAATGTAAGTTTGGTGATTGTTTGGTATGAAATAAAAGAAACACAAATGTTTGGAGGGCTAGGGCCAAATATTTATCCATTGTAATATGCATTATATATACTTAGCCAAATTCAAAATCTTTAACGCTAAGGGCTGCTTCTGATATTGTGAAAGAATAAGGAGGCTGCTATCGTGTTTGCTCAGTTAGGCCCCTCCATCAACACAAACAGTCCTGTGACAATATCTAAAGATTTATGTTTGCACAGGAAAATGACTTGGTAAGATGTCTTCAGCAACTAATCAGATCAGATCATTGATCTCCCACCAACCTTTCTAGTTCTGTCCTTACTTGGGCATTTAGGAGAGACTGGCTGGAAGTTAATCCATGAAAAATCTACCTGCCAGCACGGGTCACATCTAAATTAGGACTCACGGAAGAAACATCCCCTTAACTTTTCTACCAGGGCAAGCTGTAGGTTTGAGAGGGCCTGGAATTCCTCGTTTTTTGTGTGATTACTTGGTGGCACCTGAGGGAATCAGCAGCACTCTGATATGCTGGATCTAGCTGCTATTGGTATTGTGCCCCCAACCAATGCTTATATTGGAGGCATGGAGGAATTAAATGGTGACCCACCTGTGTGGTGCTGGTTGGAGCTCTGGACCAGGAAACAACAAAAAAGGTGGTCCAGGGCAGGCACCAGCAGTGGGTCCTGCTAGGGATCAGGTGTCCTGACAGTTGCCCATTAATGCCAAGGGGGTGAAGCCAGCCCTGAGTTTTACCTTCAGCTCGGGATCCACAATCATGCCTGGTGACTTTCCAACTTTAAATCTGGTGATATTCTCTGCCTTCTCCAGAGCGGGGACCTGGCCAAAGACTCTCTTGGATTTTGCTTGGAAAGCAGCAAGCTGTATTGCAGCTTATCAAGCTTCTCTGAGGCTCAGTATGGCTGGGATGAGTTCCTGCAGGACAGGGGTCTGGCCTCTACAGCAAACACTGGCTGTCCCTGTTCAGAGAGAAGGGAAGAGTCAGTGGCAAGCACAATTGTCAACTGGTGACCAAGGCCAGCCAAAATGTGTGGACTCCTGACCCCAACCTCCCACTAACTTCTTTGTAGAATCATCCAGCCAGCATTTGCGGGGCGGGGGGGGGGCGGTTCTTATAAAGAATATGGCAAAAAGCATTTCAATCTCTTTCCACTTTACTTACTTTGAACTTCCTTCAGCTTAAAAAATGTCACTGACAGCCTCCGTTTCCCGTGAGTAATTCTAACTCACTCTCAATGCATGGGCCCATATTTTAGAATGAGATCAACCGTAATGGGGGGAAAACCCCAGTGCAGTTTGCAAAAATCAGATTTTGCCATTTCTGTGAAAGGCTTATTAAAATGTAATTCTAAGAAAAAAACAAGGATGTCCCAGGAAGTTGTGTTACTGAAAGTTGTACCTTATCAGTTTTTCAGACAGCCAGATCACTGTTGTCCTTTGGTTCAATGGCCAGCGAAGAATATGTGAGCCTGAATTGTGGAAAAAACCCATAAATGAGAACCAAACTGGAGACAGAATTGTGTGATGTTATTCTGAAGGATCTGTCCTGTAACTAACCAGGTGGTTGCTCGAGTATAATATATAGAGAGAGCCAGGCATACGTATTTGTAGGATTAAGCCCAGATGTTCTGTTTCATCAAAGATGAATTTTAAAACCCAGCTGACTTTTCAATTGTAAAAAAGCAGAAAACTGGAGATGCTAGGTGAACAAGGTTTGCTAGCAGTGTTGTCTCCCATGGCTAACATTTTCTAATTCATCACTGTGCCTTTCTTAAAACAAACCAATGATCATTCTAGTAGAATTTGACAATGTTCCTGTCTCAATTTGTTTTAAATTGTCTTTGGGTTTTAAACAAAGCGTGGGTGGGAGTGGGCTAAGAGGAATTAGGACCGAACAAATATTTAATTAGTCATATTTTTGCATAATGCTTAGAATGTGTTCTGTCCATTTGCACAAGACTGTCTTGTCCTGTTGGAGCAGTCAGGCATTCTTTTGTTCGTTCGTTTCAAACTATATGGAGTTTTAGATAAATCTGAGGGGGGAAATGTGCTTTTATGAAGTCAATTTTTAAAGAAACACTTTGGTATTCTGAAGCAAATGTATTTATTTATCAGTATGTGTACAACTAATTTGGTATTTTCACATAATTACATTGTGTCTGTTGTAGAGAGTACAGTACATGTCAATACAGAAAACTTGTGCAGAAAAAAAATTAAACTTGAATTTGTTTCAAAGAATTGTGCCTTCCCCCCAAAAAAACATGCTTTTTTTTATATACGTGGTCATTACTCATTTACCATGTGGCTCCAAGATTGCTCTCTCTTCTCACCATAACTGCTTTCCCCTTCCTCCTTCCTGGCCCATGGAACTTCTGTGCATTGGACAGATATGAAAACTTTCTTAGCTGAATTTCACTACGACTGCATTCCAAGGAAGGATTCGACTGTGAAATTTCTGCAAGAAAGGTGGCTGTTCAAAATCCAGAAAGAAAAGGTGGAACCACATTCTCTGGATCTCCTGGTAGTAACTGCCACCGAAGAAGGGTGTTAGTGCTGTCTTTCCAGGATGTTCACAGACCACTGAAGATCTAGTCATCACATGTTCTCTCTCTCCATCTGCTTTCATCCACTCTCTCTTGGTAAGAAAGCCAGGTCCGCCACCCTGGTTTGATGGCTAAGAGGTTGCATCTCACTGGCATACCCATCTCATAACCTGACTCCTCTGATCATGATCAGTGCTCCCCTAAACAAAACATGTAGAGCACCCCTCCATCCACCTCGGCTGAGGCAGCCTTTGGTAGGAGAACGCTACAGTTCTCAGTAGCACCAACACACTGATCCCACCCTCGAAGGGTCTATAAGCTCTGGTACGTCTCTATGGTGGCAGCTTCTACCAGGAAATCTCGAGAGAAGACCGTTCTACATACTATGAATGGGATTTCTGGATCTTGTAGAAACTGCCACCAGCCCCACCTGGGCTTAATCTGGCTGCCTCTGAACTACCCAGAACAAATTCTACCTATCCTCTGTAAAGGTATTCTGTTCTTCCCTCTGCCAGTGAGCCTCCGTTTCAAGCAACGGTTAGTTTACTCATTGTTCTATAGTAATGTAGTTTTGGGACGCGGGTGGCGCTGTGGGTAAAAGCCTCAGCGCCTAGGGCTTGCTGATCGAAAGGTCGGCAGTTCGAATCCCCGCGGCGGGGTCCCAGCACCTGCCAACCTAGCAGTTCGAAAGCACCCCCGGGTACAAGTAGATAAATAGGGACTGCTTACTAGCAGGAAGGTAAACGGCGTTTCCGTGTGTGGCTCTGGCTCGCCAGAGCAGCGATGTCACGCTGGCCACGTGACCCGGAAGTGTCTGCGGACAGCGCTGGCCCCCGGCCTCTTGAGTGAGATGGGCGCGCAACCCTAGAGTCTGTCAAGACTGGCCCGTATGGGCAGGGGTACCTTTACCTTTACCTTAATGTAGTTTTAGTAGCTGTCTCCACTTTGGGGCTTGTCATTAAAAAAACTGATTCCCTTCAGGGCAGGGTAGAGCCAAGTATGTATTTCCTAGTTACCTGTTTTGAACTTGCAACGTTGCCAATTGGCTGCTGGAAAGGGAGCATAGCCCTCTCTATGGCAGCAGTTTCTATGAAATCCAGAAATTCCATTCACGGTAAGCAGAATGGTCTTTTCTCACGCACCCTTAAAATGGGAAACGTAACTGTCTGCCATTCTTTTTGAAAGTCACATTGCTTGTTCCAGAGAACACACACATAATACACACAAGAAATATATACTGGAATGTTGTTCCTCATTTTACTCAAGATAGATAAACAAATTTAAAAATAAACATGGATGCAAGAGAGAAATATGCTTACAAAATTTCCTCTGGTATTTTCCATTCACTTAGTGCTGCAAACTATTTTCAAAGCAGGTTTCTGTAATGTTCAACACGGGCCACGAAATGGTGCTGAACTGATTATCAACTTCGCTAAAGCAGATCTTTCTAAAGGCTTGGAGAACTGGAATGACCCAAGTCCCTTATTCCTGGAACAGAAACTTATAATAAAGAAGCATTTTTGCTGGCCAGGCATATCTGAC